TGATGGAAGAAATCCACTACGAGGTTGATGACAGTATCCCTCTACTTGCAGGGTCTCGTCCACTCCAGGTAGTGCTGATTTCTTGCACAAACCGTACCAAGGAGACTGGTCCTTAGCCAAAAACAAAGTCCCTTTACCAAAATATGTGTTTGCACAGTGTCGCACTTGCTTTTGCATAGTGTCTTGACTTGATAGCTGTGAGACAAAGCCCAAAGTGCCCTTTCTAGGCCTGCACGAAATGTGGGTGGACGACTTGTGGTCCATGATAGCCCTGCAAGAGCAGTAAAAAGCAGTTTCATCCCATTGCAGCATGGCAAACCAACCCTTGCGCACTTGAGAATTTGTGTCTCTGCAAAAGCTCCAGTGGCGAGTAGCACTGTGCCTCCACCCTCCAAGAACATAGTACAGTCATTTGTCTGTCGGTTTATTTATATAGAATTATATAACCAAGGCATTGCGATCAGGAACTTGGATCCAGGGTCTTCCATGTGAGACTTTGATCTGAGACATGTCTTGGCATCTTCAGACATGTTCGAATCTACTGCAATCTTGACATAATATACTCCAAAAAACAACACCTCCCTTGATGGGACATCACTTCACTTGATCAAAGACAGCTTGTCAGAGGGCTTCAGTGACCCGCCTGCGCCGTCTGCAAATGGACCTGTGGTGGTGCAGCCTGGCAGTGGCACATGTGTCACACGGGCGCAGCAAAGAAACACACTTGGATGAACTGACACTCCCACAAAAACGGCTGCGTCCATTGTGTCTAGCAGCATGGGATGTAAATCACGGAATAGTCATGTCATGGCCATGACCCACAGAAACAAACAAACATGGGAACATCTGCTGAATTTGCAAGTCTTTTCGGCTTGCCGGTGAACTCTATTCATACCGGTATCGGTATGGCGAAAAACTAGTACCTTCTCTTGGTAGAACCCGCAGAATGAGAATGCAAATCAAAACCTCTCAAACGACGATTTGCTGGGGACTAGTTTCCCTCTCCCATTCTTAATATATAAATCATATACCCCCAAAACTCCTCATTACATGTTCAATACTTTTCACATATTTTTACACATATATAGACAGTTTTACTTTTTATCTAATTCATATCCTCATACGACAGTTCTCGATTGTCAACAAATCCTGCAACGCCTCGGGCCGCTCGTCACTCACATCCCAGCGAGTCATGGAGAGACCCTCCGAGGTGTTCTGCACGAATTCAACTACAACAGCTGTACCCCGTAATCAGCAGTTTTTGTACCAAATGGGTTGTCCATGAACGTGTTCAGGAAAACTTGGTCCAAAAACAATCCGAAAAAGTCACCGCGTCACCTGTGTATAAGTCGGTGGCAAAGTCGGGTGCACAAGCACCGGTTGACCCTGCAGCCAGAGAGTCGGAGTATGATCTTGATTTGAAGAGATGCCGTGAGCCAACTGATGAGAAAGAACCAACAAATCTCATAGTTAAGCTACATTAAAGGTCAGGTGTGTTGACCGCAAGACAGTCTGCTTGACACACCATGTAGCGGCAATGATGCTTCGTTCGCTCCACAGCCAGCACAGCTACCACATCCGCCTGTCGTGGCGGCGCCACAAACACCTGGTGGCCCTGTGCGAGGACACAGCCGTGGCCATCGACAGGCTGACAGGGTGAGATAAGTCTGTCAATGAGACTCGAAAGACCGTTGCTGATGACATGTGATGACTTTTCAGACATGTCCTTTCTTTGCCACTGTTCTTCGGGCTTTCCCCTAGTTGAGAAACACATCCAAAGGCCTTCCACACACTCCAAGCGGTGATGACGTGGCAAACACTGGAATATCCATACATGTTCCAGTGACCATTGCCAGGCCTTTTACCCCTTCTCAGGTTGTTCCGGATGTTGCCCAAAGCTTCGTAATTTAGGAGAAATCTTCAGGTAGAAGCTGCCAAAAGTAGGATAGAAAGCACAATCGCACCACTAGATTTTTGAATAGTGAGCTGCAAACGCACACTGTACCCTTTGGTTAGAACTGCAATGCAAATGAGCTCTACCTGTGGAGCTGTAATCCAAAATTATACAGATCCGCGGTGGTTCAGAAATAAACATCCAATCTACAAAACAAGATTCTCACCCGAATCGGCACTTCTCTCAATGTTGCTCCTGAGGCAGAGGAACGAAGCCAGGTCCTCAAATTGATTGGCACATGCCAAACGGGCAAAACAAATCGATTTGCGAGGGCCATTTGAGCGTGGGATTCTAGCGTGGCTTCAAAGTATCTGAGATTCTCATGAGTGGGACATTCAGACCGTCAGCTGTTGAGGGTAGCATTGCATTTTTTTTACATGAAGGCTGGTTTCGTTATTGTAGGCTGGACCCTGGACACACACCACTCCAAACAGTCAATGGCCCTGCACAAAGAGCAGCCACAGCACATGCAATCCAATGGCACTGTTGTTGGGAAGACCTAAACTGCAGGAGCACGATTGGCTTTGCCAAGGAGCTTTGCATCTGCATGAGAGGCAAATGAGGATTGTGGAGCTGCTGCACTGTTCAAAGCTAAATTCACAAAAGATCTCTATGGCTTTCAGGTTTTGAATCTTTGCCCTTGTATGACTCGATAAGATGGCACATGCAAGAACTCTTTCACCTTGGTCCAGGATGGAAGAACTCTTTGCCCTAGAATGAAGAACCCATCAGTTGCCTGCTTTTCTTATGGCTTGTCCTATAGCTAGTTCATGCTAGTTATGTTTTCTCTTTAGTGTTCTGGTCCATGTTCTTTTTCATCCCCTTTGATGCTTAAGGAGACGAAACATATCATATTCACCCCTCCCATGCTTATGTCTGCACAGATGTATCGTGAAAATCCTGTCTCCCACCTCATGTTATGCCCCCTTCTGAGCATCGTTGGTGATCGTGCAAAGAGCGAAGACTGTCTGAGGCTCTGAGCGAAGCATAATTCGTCTCAATTTGATGTCTGGACATTCCACGTTTTTTTGTTTCTTCCTGAACATTCTTTTTTGACTTTTCACACCCCAAGCGAACTCACTAGCCGATCGCCTCCACCCTATAAGACCAACACTGTAGACTCCAAAGAACTGCTGGCGGCTGGCGAACACTTTGCAACTGTGGGGTTCCATGGCAACACTATGTCCCGCACAGAAAGTAATGAGGTTGCTCAATAGACATACGTGGCAACATGGCGCATAAAATACTACACACCAATTCTGCTTTGGGTACAGTATCTTCTTTACACTCCCGATGTCTGACCTTGCCGGTTCACGGACGCCCCTTTGTTCCAACCTGCGAAATCTGGTGGGGAAGAGTTTGTCTGGGAATTTGAAGAGCCAGCTGACTGTTGTGAGGCCACTCAGAGGTTTTCCACCCGTCGCAGGGTCGCTGGAGAGTCATGTCAAATCTGTTAGAAAATAGCTTGTAGCTTCCTAGTCATAAGCCTCCCAACTGATGCTGACCATCTCTTCTTCTCAATTGCCATGTTCGTTTCTTTGACTGGCTCTGCATCCCTTGGCCCTTAGCCTTACATGTACCAAGGAGCTACAGAACTCTGCAATCAAACAACCCAAGATCCGCCGACTCGACTCCATCAGCATCCAAAGCGACCACAGCTTTGTAGGATGGTGGCTGGTGGTTTCTTTGGTTTCATTTCTATGCATCACTATCCTGCACCTGTAGACCTGGTAGGTGAAAGGAATATGCCCGATGCAAGTTTCCTTATTGGGGGGTCGAACGATCTCTGACCAAAAAGTATCCCTGAAACAAAATAAAACACCAGGTTCAAGCAAAGGGAACTTGAGCAAAGGTCATTTCAGAGCATTTTCGCTGAACTCTGGCGTGTTGGGCTGCGAATCACAGAGGCTGCAAGCCCCACACTATAGAATCATATCACATCTCAAGTCTCCAATTTCTAACAGAAACAAATGATTTGCCATTCCCTATGTGGTTCGATACCTTTGAATTGAAGTCTCTTTCATAGTCATCTACCGCAGTTATATCATACGAATGAGACACTTGGAGACTTGCTGAGTTGCAAAATACCAACATACTTCAGGATCAGCTCCTCTCGAACCTCACGCAGCCATCCGATTTGTGTAAAATGAAGGATGGAGCCTGAAACCAAAGAACCCCAAAGAATTGATTGGCAATGGGGAGATTGAGCCCAAAAAGCTTCCCAAACCTGTGCAGTCTAAGTCTTGAAAGGCAAACTTGCTGATTCTGAGGTCACCTGTTCTTTGAATCTTCGAATTGCATACACCCTACTGAGCACTTTGGGATGAAGGACCTTTGAAGTGGATGATAGGCACTTCCTGTTTCCCGTGATTCTCTGGCGCCGCAACTCCTCCTTAAACAGTAACAATAAAAAGCGAAAATCAACCCGCGGTATTTGAGTATAGCCTGAGCCTCGTAGAAAAAAGTAAAATACAAATTGGGAACCACCATTGATATTGGAGATGGAAAAGCATGAAAAAGCCCTCTCATTCCCCTTCTTCAAGTGGAATAACACACATAGCAAACAAAAACGACTGTAAAGTGGGGAAATCGACGTCAGAAGGGAGCACTGCAAAAAGTGACGGATTTTAGCCATCAGTGCAGTTGCAAGTGTTCAGGAACCACTAGAGAGGCACTGATTGCACTGTAGAATATTGGACGAAACTTTGATTCTTGATTCAATACCCAGCCCAGTCTACTTCGACCAGCCGCATGTGCTCGATACCCTGCAACGAACGAAGTGACATCCCAAAGAGTCTTCCAAGGGGGTTCCTCATGTGTTTGGACCTTGCGCGATGGCCAATTCTTTCGATGGAATATGATGTCAAATCAACTATGTGTCCATCACCACACCAACTTTTTCCTGTACGAATGGCCAGCACAAACACAACCCTGGGAATATTCGTCAAATTTCATTAACAATCACCTCAGCTATGACAAAGCTGCAGCTGTCGCACATCCATCGGTGTCATGCTGTTCTGACGCCGAGCTGCGTGACAGGCTCTACTCATCCCATGCCCAAATCGAAGACCAACTCCTCGTCGTCGTCCAAGTTTAGGATCTTTGGCACAAACTCCTAAGGTGTCTTTCAGGGCTTGACAGAACGTGTCTGTTCAAGCAGTCATGAATGCATGAATCACATGGAACCCTCACTTGAGCAGCGGTTGTTGAAGGCATTGATTCATTCTGAGGCCTTGCCTCTTCTCCTTCAGCTCGACCTGCCAGCATCGGCAAGGGCTTGCCGAGACGGCAACTTGGTGCGCCGCGCGCTCTTTGTTTGTTGGGTGATTCGGATGATTTCCGCCCACACGGAACTAAAGTTCCATACGGTGTGACATGCAGGATCGCGAGATCAAGCCTCCTTCGCCTTCAGTAGCAGAAGTTGCCTCCTGCATGGCCAGAAAGGATCGGATGACCAGTTATTGCAGGGCAAAAAAATGCATGGCTTCTCTTGTGAATAGGATTTCAACATCAAACGAAGTATCTTCCGATAGGTCTTTCGTTGGGTGCTGATGATTCGACCTACGAGCAGGAGAACTGCTCAACCGGCGCAACCCCTGGTGAATAGAGCAGAAAGCTTTCATGTAGGGTCGATTTCTGCTGAACCACACCCAAATATGGGCATGCCACAGTATGTATTTGTGGTATTTTTGTTGTGAGACCCTCAATCTCTTGGGTCTTCCTCCTCCATTGCATCACCCTCAGCATCAGCCGAAGTGTCTGCTTCTCCAGATGATCCGTCACCTCATCGGAGCCGGCATGGGAGGGCTGCTGGTGAGTAGCTTGTCTCAGGTTCAAACAACAAATATCGATCTTGGTGAGGCAACATCTGATTGAACTATTGGCAGAACTGTTTTACGTTGTACTGGTGTGACTTGGTTTCTCTCTGGCTGCCTTTGAAAACCTCCCCCACAACCAAGGAGTTTGTGTCATAGAAAATATGCACTTGTTTTGCAATTATTTTGTAAATCAGTGCATCTTTGTTGGTGAGAGTTGTGGTCGGGCAATTTGGCTCGTAATTGTTCTGTGTGCTGCGGCGCTTCAGCTTCTGGGAGATGGCGCTGTCTGCCTTCAACACTGGCCATGCCCGCATCTAGTGACCGCAAGATCAGAGTTCCTCAGGACCCTTGGCTAGATTCATGAAAACACGGACAGCCAAACGAGGGGTGTCAGCAAATTTGCCAAGTGGAGCTTGTCGAAGAAAATGCGCACCAAAAAAAAACACACACATAAAAAACCTATTTGCCTTTCGTTGCCTTTCCATGCTCCGAATGTCTTTTTTGTCTGAGTGAGGGGACTGACATCCATTGGTGGGGGTGCTTGGCTCCTCGGCTTCGCGGAATCTGTTCCGGGTTTAAAGGGAAGGGATACGAAGGGATTATCCTGCGAGCCCCAGTGTGCCACCCGCATCTGTGCTAGACTGCCGCTCGCGCCTCCAGATTCTTTTTTGAGAGCCTGACGCAGCACATTTTGAACAATTTTGACTGAGGGGCAAAGAGGCTGGAATCCCAAAAGGTGGTTGTCCGCCAACGTTGATGCAAGCATCGCGGGTCACATCCGAAGTTGCATGGTTTGCATTGTCAGCAACAAGTTTGGCATGCTTGTATGAGTCTCAAAGTAGTGGCCACTGCATTGAGTCACAGTCGTAGGCCAATATCGTTTTTTCGATTTATTCTCGGGTGTCCTGCAGTCCACAAAACACCAGGACCATCCAGGACCACATGACAATTTCCGGGATGAGGTGGACGACTGCAAAGTGCAAGGCACATGGGTCCGTCAGATCTTTGTCAAGGCTGTTTTGAGACCACCTTCATCGAGGTGGACCCATTACATTCCAAAGCCTGCAAACACAAAAGGGAAGTCATGTACTACCAGGACCACTCGGCCTCTCTACTATCAAACCCACCACTGTGCTATCACATTTCTCGGCCTCCAGGATCGCTTGAGCCTTCTCTAGGAGCTCTGAGTGTTGCTCCCATAGCGCGGCCTGGGCACTGTGCTTTTGAAAGGTGTCCAATCAAAAAGAAACATGTTTTCTGTTGATTCCGACGCAACAAATTATATCTGTAGTTATATAGTTGGGTCAATTATTGAGGGATGGACAAATCGGCCAACCCACCACCCAGAACTGCCTTGACACAACCTGTTCACATGGACCGTTCCAAGAATCTTGATTTATATAGATCAAGATGGCAGTTAGATGATTGATGCACTTTGCTGAACTGGTTTGCTTCTGTCTGCGCTGATTGTCGGGTGATTTCTGTTGATGTTCACAGTACAACACAGAAACCACGTGTCCAAGTTTCGAAGCGGTGGCTTTAAGACATGACACTGATTGGACAAGGTATCATGAACAAACTGAATTTTCCGTCAGTAGATCTCCCTGGAGAATCCCCTGACTCAAACAAATGTGGCAGTGACTTACTGCGACTGTAGCATTCTGGTGGCTTGATCATTTATCAGCATGTCCTTTTCACCACCTGCCAAACTCGAATCTTGGAAGCACCCTCAGTATCATGCGCAAAGAATGTAGGTGTTGCACGGCTAGTTCAACTGTCGGATATGAGCCAGTCGAACCCGAAAGGCACCCACGGGTCCAAGGCATCCAAGTGTGTCTTTAGACCAACGCCACAATCTGACTTTTTGGTAGGATTTTTTTTTACATTAACACCAAACAACTTTGTAAATGTCCAAGTACCTCTTCCTCTTATAGTCCAACAGGAACCTCATCAAGCAGGACAATGAAAGGTAGCAGCGACTAACAAGGTGCCTTGCGGTTTGGTCCAATTCACATGCGGTTCCTCTTGGTCAGCGAGGCCCTATGAACAAGTAGATGCATTTCTTGGTTTCTTGGGCTGCACAAGCCCGCGCCACCTCCTTCGCTGCCCGCAATGCATCCTCCAAGTCCTGGATGTTGTCAGACTCCACAAACACCCGGCCAACTTCAATAGAGCGAAACATGGGGGAACACAAAGGGATGATTCCAATGAAGAATCTTTTGTAAAATGATTCCAATGGGCAACAAAAAGGTGGGACGACACCTTCACGCATCAAGTACTTTCTGGTGAGCCATCCTGTCTCACACACATGTTCCACTTCTGTTCCACTTCCTGTTCTAGGCCTCGGTTGTCAGACTCTGGAGCGCAGTTGATCGTCATGGCCGCATGGCAGTTACTTTCTAGGTTCCTGTTTTGTCAGATCATCTGCTTGCGGCTTGTGCAACCTTATGTTCATCTATGCACATCTACCTACTGGCCCATTGCATTCTCATTGGAAAACACTTTCGCCCAAGCTGCGCAAGTCAGAATATAACCCTAGTCATTCGTTCTGTGGACGCCATGCCACAAGAGAAGCGTGCGTCAACCCAACATCCGGGTGATCCCCCTTACTACTGCCACCACGTCTCACACACACACACAGGTGCTGGCCGGCTCAAATTTGCAGTCGCTGGAACAACTCTTGTCCATAGCTCATGTTTCCCATGAACAGAATGTGTATGTTTTCATGTCATTCTGCGATAGGCACCAAATTTCAGTTCTTTCTGCGTACAGCAAAGGTCGCTCTTGCCCAGGCCAGTGCCGATGCTCCCTTTGTCCTTGCATGCTTCGGACGTAGACCTCGGCTTGCTCTTCAACAAGCAAACGGCTGAGAGATGCGATAGAGTTGGTGTTGATGGTTTGTTGGCTTGAAGCCTAGATCCCCAACACTTCCCCAAAAGTATCAGTCTCCCAACGGCTGTTTCAACCATGAATCAACCACCTTGGGATGAGGGGCGGGCAAACAAACACATTTTGTAGTTCGATCATCAAGGGCCTTTACCATTGTATAGTAGCACACACACACACGAGATATTCACGAAACTGCGTTGCCACTGGTTGCATTCTTGGTGTCAGCGCTGGTGGCAACCCAGGTGGTGGAACTGACTACAGTACCGGTTATTGGCATCTTGTGCTTTCGAATGCATTTCACTCCTCATGATAATGCTGTGCAAGGCATTCGGTCGCAAAAAGTAAGGAAGACCATGGAAAACCCGACGCAGCAGTGTGAACCTGAGGCGACGTGCAACCCAAAGTAGGCACTCCATTTCGAGAAGGAAAACTAGTAAAGTAGGCACGGGCTCTCTGCTAGGCAATTGAAGACGCTCAAGTCTGTTGAACATAAGGTGTCGGGAAATCTAAACCTTTTAGCAGTACCTGTAGTGGAAGGAGACTATGTCTATGTTGCAACTGTGTTGCGCGGTTCTCGGACCAACTTTTGAATCGAGGATTCTTTGAAGAGGCAAAAAAACATGGAAGTGCTCATTCCTGAGCAACACCATGAGGCTGAAAATTGCGAGGATTAGGATGGTTTCCTCTCACTCTGAGCACTTCTGAGCAGGGTGACCAGCGGCTTCAAAGTAGATGTATAAAATTGCAAAACTCACTCTGTAAGATCTACTGTTCGCATCGGGTGCTCTAGCAACTCTCTGTGCATATGGCCTGCAAAGGTCAGCGAGGTCACCATCCACTTCCAGACGTTTGTCGGAACAGGCTCCCGGAAGAGGCTCCTATGAGTGAGGCCAAGTGCCATCCTTAAGTCTCTATGAAGATTTTGGCTGAAAATGAAAGCGGTATTTCAAACCAAGGATCCAACATTTGGAACTGCAAAAAAGCATCTTGCTGCCAATCTTCAGAAAACCAAACAATTCTTGCTGGCGCGCAGGCAGGCTAAATTTCGTTCACGGCTTCGCCGTGGTGTCCGTGAACCTGCAGCAAACCCAGCAATGGAGGCATTCACCAAATAGTGTTAACCTCAGAATGGACAGCTCAAATAGTCAACAACTTCAAAATCAATCCCTCGAAAAAGAACTCACCAGACTTTCCTAATACACGTCCGTTTTTTTGTTCCATAAAATCATATTGATGCAAGACACCCATTGTATAATCTGGTTCATCGTGTCCATGAGATTCAACTGCTCAATCCAACTCTGCCAGGTGCGATCCGTCAATGTCACAACAAGACAATCAAAATATCCAACTCCAGCCTCGGCTTTCGCGAAGGAAAGCAAAACATGTCGTTGCACTTGATCACCATTGGGGAAACATAAATAAGCATAATGCTGGAAAGCGTTTAAAGCTCGGGACCAAGAGCCATGAAACGCGACAGAACCGCAACCATGAAGTCTACCATGACTTTGCCAACAGCAGCATAGACAATGACGTAGCACCATCCATCTCGAGTGATACCCGTAGCGCGGAGCACCTCCACTTCTTTTTCGTAGTTTCTTTTTAACTCTTCTTCTGTTGCTTTCTCTGACAAGATCGTTGTGTACAAGAGACCAGGCCATATTGCTCTATCGAAATTCCCAGGGAGAAAGCCTGTTGAAGCCATAGCATTTGCAAGGGTCATTAAACACAAAGTCTTCTCCCTGTACTTTGTAGAGTAGTAACCTTCTTCCACTACACTCGAGTCACTTGTGGCTGCATCTTGCCCAGGGCAGTGGTACAACATCATTTGGGCCAGCTTGCCATCAGGAGTTTCAATTTCCAATTCTGGTGTCAAGCCTTTCAGCTTCGATTCCCCATCGCAACAGCAACAAAGTCGCCATAGAGCTTGCACTCGCTCCAAACAGCCTGTCACAGGGCAATTTGGCCTCAAAAACAATTGATTGCGCTGTTCGTTCAAGCACTCATTCTTTCTTCCTGAGAGCCCCGATGGACTTGAAAAGCACCTACTCGCACTCGTGAGCGTTACAGTCATATGCGAAGGAGAAGAACAAAACCACACCCGTTTCTTCGGCCGAGGAGAAGCTGTAGGCGGATGTGAGAAGTGTCTGTGTGGGTGACATCACCTGGGTAATACCGTAATACCTTAAACGGTTGTACGAAATGTCCGAGTTAATGCTTTTCACGAGATGTTGGTTGTAGTCGGGCCTACCAAGGTCTCCAGCATGCGCAGTGTAGGGCTGTACAGTACGACAACGATAGGACACCATGTGCATGGTCATCTCCGCGGATGTGGCAGGTTTATTACTCTCTCTATCTGTATTAATTTTCTCGCAAGTCGATATGAATATGCGCCATGGACCATTGAATGAACGACCATACTGCCACTTGCATGGTGTGGCCGAATCCCTGTTCTACTCATTGCATCTCTTCTCTTGGGTGCCCATTCTCGGCCACGTATGGAGAAGTCCGGTTCTTCACGATAGACAAATTGACAAGACCCACAAATATGACCAATCACTTTCTAGCACTTCCAGGCGGAACAAAAACTTGACACACTTGATACGTCCGGGGAGCATATTGGGTTTGAAGGCTTGGCTAAAAAGGCGGGAAAATGTCACCCAAACGATATATTCCCAAACCTCGCCTGCACGTCATGCTCCAAACCCTCCCTTCCTTCCTTCCCTCCTTCCCTCCCTCCCTCGCTCTCTCCGTCTTTGTGGTCCCAGCCCAATCCTTCCTTTCCTTGCCCTTTCCTTGTTTCCCTTCCCTCCTCATCTTCCAAGATGCCACAGCAAGAATGACACTGCACCACCTGCATCAATTTGCCATCGCATATTATGTCCTCTTTCCCAGTGCAAAAACGACCTTCCAGCCCACCTATATAATTCACCACTGGACTATCCCCCTTCCAATTCGCACTCACACCCGGACTGTCAATTCTTCAGGAACCCCCAGGTTCAGTATCCAGAAGTGGCACTAAAAAAATAAGAACATTCTCTAAAGAATCAATAGCCAGATTGCATCTGCTAAAGAATTGGAGACTTGAAGGAAAAGCTCAAAAGGCCTAAAGAATTGACGGTCCGAGTTCGAGTCGAACAAAGTCGACTCATGCATGTGTTTCTTGATAGATTATCATAGATTATCAAGTATTATCATCGTTATTGATCTTCAACTTCACTGTGAATCCAAATGCGGTTGGACCAAAAGCTTGCAAACTATTGGAAACTTATATAATCCTGATATGTCCTGATACATCCTGATACCATTTATATCCATTTATAGCTGATCCTGGTATGGTCTCTGCATCTGTGTGTTGAGCCCATGCTGGGATTTGCAAATCTGGCTTTGCAAAGACTATTTTCTCTAAAAAATCCACCCCATTCTCGAGCTAACGCTCGACCACCAAAGTCTCTAATAAATCAACCCCCTCTTGGCCTTATAGAGAATGGGAACCCCCAGGTTCCAGTTGTAGACTGGCATTGCATATTTTCATCCATTTTTTTTTCAATGACAACCCGGGTTGTCTGATTTTTTAGAGGAAATTCGCACACGGATACTGGACTCCACTTTTGCACTGCTTTCAAGCAACCCTCTACCCCCTTACTCATTCCATTCGGACTGTCAACTCCAGCTATCGCCGAAAGGTCGCTTATATAAGAAGGAAACACAAGTGACCATCAGAATCATTTGTTGCCACACACGCCAACAGCCACCAGGCCTTCGTTGTTCTGACGAATGATCAGAATTCTCAGCAGCAATTCCACCACAAACAGTCGCATAAGAATCATAAAGATTAGCACAAGGATAATCACCCAGGGATAAAGGATGGCGAAGAGGGGGAGGTACACGGTACCAACACACCATCCGAAAGTCCAGCAACGGACAAGGAGCACCACAATGTAAATTGTAAAGACCCCTTTGCTCGCTGAATGGCAAACAAACCAGAGTCTGTCACACCATGAGACGTCTGACGACTCCTCCTCCTGCTGCTTTGCCCATGGAGGCTTTTCCGTCAGCCCATTGCAATTGGTCATCTCTTGTATCAAAAAGACCAAGCGCTTAGGATCAAGAACAGACGGTGCAAAGCCCCCTTTTCCACCTGTCTCGTCACTGTAGGGCCTTGATTTCAGAGCTTCCAGGGTCAACTCTCCTTGTCCTTCAGCTTCCCTTACGCGTGTCATATACTTGCTCCAGTTTTTATAAAAGTCTGCGTCGTGGGCTTTTCTGAAGTTGAGATAGTCGTTGTACACCAGCATCAAAACGAACTGATCCACATATCTTCTCCACTGAGAGCTCGTACCAGATTGCAGCATGGAGAACATTAACGTGCGGAGCAGGGTTGACAAGCCGATGTGTCGTGAAAATTCTTTCACAAAAATTTCCTGCACCTCCGCTAGATCCTCGATTGAGGAGTAGATTGTCCTGTACAGGAGGTAGAGAGTAAAAACAAGTTTGAACATTCTTCCGATAAACTGCAGAGCTCCTGTATCGAGTGTCCGGAATGCAGGTGGCCCCATGATCAGCGCAGTTGAAGCTGCTCCAAGAATGCTCGTGATCAAAATCATCCAGTACGGCTGTTTGACAGGAAGCTTCAAGAACTCATCAATCTCTTCCACACGTGGCCCTTTCTGGTACACGTATGTCAGCCCACAAAAAATGAAGGCCAAAGGCAGTGCGAAAGAGCAAAAGTGTCCAAACACTATGATGGTCACATAAACACAACAGCGGCTCTCTCGTGCTTGGCACGCCTCAACAGCTTGTTGGAACGATGTTTGGGTTTGACGGGCACCGCCTATCAAGGACAGAAGGAAATGGGCGAAGCAACTGAATCCTCTTCGACCCGTCTCAGCGAAAGAATTCAATGACCGAAGGGTGGCTACAGGCTTTGTCGACCGAGCCTCTCTGACATCTGTGGCTTCGTCAGAAGTGGCAATGCTAACTCTGCGTTCCCTGACACCATCTGTCAATGTGTGGTTGTTGCTCGTTTTTAGCGCTCCACGTATGTGCTGACCTGAAGATCCAGAAACTGGGCGACAGTTTGCACAAGGTGGACATGGTAGTGGTCCATCTACAATCCGTTTCCTCATGATGTTACTATCATCGTCATGATCATCGTGAGCAAGTGGAGGCATCCAAAAACTGCTGAGCTTGCTCTCACCAGGCACGTGCTCTGACACAAGACTTTGATCATTTTTATCCAACTCTTCTTGCTCTGGGGAATCTTCCTGGACCTCGACTTGATCCAAAGATGCCTGATCACTTCTTGACCCATGATCAGCATTTTTCCTCTTACGTTTCACCTTTCGCCGCCCTCTTTTGATTGTCCCTTTCCTTCCAGCTCTCAAATCTGATCGAGCTGGGGCGATCTGCTCCTCTGAAGCTCCTATTGCTACCCTGTTGCTCTTTTGGGTGATCTCTTGACTTCCGCAGTCTCCTTCATCATGGCATGCTGTTCCGGTCAAGAATTGCATTTGAAAGCTATGGCTTTACCACAGCTTGGGAGGACAGTTTGCGCAACAGGTTCATAGTCAACCTTTTCCATTAGTCATTAGTCCATCAAACTCTGGAATGAGGGAAGGAACCAGTCACAGCGAACATGTGGAGCGCAAAAAGGCAGGCAGTGCTCGACATGTGTCAAGTGGACAGGTACGCGCTGGGCGTCATACGGCGGGTCGTCCTCGAGATCATCCTGCGAAAGGTCCACGTTGAACTCAAGCGGTCCGAAGGCACCAACTGTGGGGGATTCTAAGTGGTGCTGGTGGTATTTCTGATGTCTGGAGTTTTTGTCACTCATGAAAAGGATTTTTTCAATCTTTTAGTGGATTTATCATATCTATTTGCTGGGTTGCTCCCAGTCGATCCAGTTTTGACCATGCTTAAACGTTGATGCCGGCAGTGAACATCCAACGACCATCTCACTTTGTAATTGGTCATTTACCTTTACCTTTAGGAGAATGGGTCTTCAAGCACAGGCACAGTCGATTTAGGAATCTTTTGGGATCATCCCAGCCGGGTTATTACTCCAAGTTTCCGCTGTGTGAATATGACAGGTAGGTCATCCGAAAGAATAGGACGCAGCCTGACATTTGTGACCAGTCAACAAACCCACCGAAACCATTGATTGGCTTTTCCATCGATTGAACCCAGGACCCAGGAATCTCCACAAAGAGCGGCCCAGGAACCAGGAAAAGGTCACATCAGCAGATTGTCTTGCCCGGCCTTAAACCTAATAGCGATGGCCTCCAACCTAAGAGCGATGGCCTCCAACCATCTCCAACCTAATAGCACAGGGACAATGCATAATCTCTCGGTAGAAACTCCGTAAACTAAGTGGCCCAGTGAGTCACAGAGTCACATGCCAACTTGTGGCCGCCCATACAACGCCATTCTAATCCATTGTAGACAATATCTGTTCAGTTTTTTCTGGGAAAAAAATGCATGAGATTTCATGATTTCATGAGTTCTAAAGTTTAAAGGAAGTTTCAACCCAATGAATCCAGAATCACTATGAATCACTTTTCGTTTTGTCTAACCACTCTTCGACTTTTCCAGTCTTGCGTCTTCCACCCGTGTCCTCCACAGCTTCAATGGCTTCTCGCAGCGCTGCCTGGTGCAGGTGTCGAGCCGTACATGTGCCTACAATTAGGCTTAGATCCACACTGCAGAACCCACATGGGTTGAGTTGTTTCTCTGCATGGTTCCCAAGCAGCCCAACGTAAACCAAGTCCCTGGCTAGAACAAGAAATCCCAAAGCAAACGTCACACAACAATCCTAGCCATCAAGTCACAGCCCAAATAAAGCCCTGCGTGAACCTTGGTTGATCTCAGAAAACCATCCAGGCCATTCTGCTAAAGCAAGCGCATCTCCTATCCACTTCACCAAGTGCAAAAAAGACCTATCTCAATCGTAGCAACACCTTGTCAAACAAACATCTGCAGCACTAATGAATCTTGACAAAGTTCCCCTTTAGATCTTTTAACTAGACCAATTTGTTCTTTCTCTTTGACTTCCATCTCCCATCCTCTTCCCTCCCATCCTGTCATCCTTCGCCCCATTCACCTCAGCATCCCTCTGTCGCCAGCGTCGCAGCAAGGTCTTGGGACCACTGAGCTGTTCGTCGCTGGCGCCCATCGACTTGGCGGCGGCCACCAGGTCCTGCGGAGGTGGGAGCGGCGGGTGCCGGTGGGTCTTGGTTCGAAACAGTTTCAGTTACCAGAAATGTGTAACTCTGGGGGTGTGATAGAAAGACTTATATAAATGCAGAAAAAGGTCGGAGAAGAGCTGACTAGTTACAAGATTTTTCCAGCAAATGGTCGGTTCCGTTGGGCTTTCCCACTGAAGTGCGAATTTCTCAAGCGTCTTAGGTGGCGCGGCACTCTCAAGATATCTCAAACGCAGCTCGGTCATGATTTCCAACAAATACTAACATTGTTTCATTGTGATTTGAATGGATTGGATGTATTTCTGCAATTCGAACCAGGCAACATGGCCAAAGGCATGAAGACTTGGGCTCTAAACTGTGGGCAAGGTGGTAAACCCAAGATCTGACCCAAATCCAAGATCTGGTTGTTGAACAAAACATGGAATTGGAATAGGTCCAGCTCGCACAGGAAAACAGTCGTTCAGGCCCGTTTACCACAAAACCTATTCCTTCCCAAGAAAGCGAAGGTTCTCCCTTCTCTCCTGCAAGTGTTGTGTGCTCTTCTGGCCATCCTGGCGAGCAACACCTTGCAACTAGCAAGTATAATGGGGCTGTAATACACCTATGCCGCCTATGCCTATATATATATATACATACACTTTATACTACAAAGATCAAGTGAAGTAAACAGCAATGCAATTTTTCTGTTGTAGTGATGAATGAACAGAATAGATGGCTCTAAGACCCGGAGAGGCACCAGCCACCCTTTGGCCTCTTCTTGGTCCGCCTCCTCTTCAAAGCCCTCACAGCAGAAAGGGATTGAGGACCACGGCATCCCGTCAATTTCCACCACGTGGATGAACGCAACTGTAGAGAAAGACAAGCTAGAAATCACAGTGGAGGGCGAGATCCTTCCGCTGTGGCAAGTGTTTTGACAAGGGCAAGCTACTCAGCTACTGAAAAATATCTTACTTTCTTGCAACACCCAATTGATTGAACAGCTAGCAGCAAATGAGCGACCTGCAAATAGGTAGAAAGACGTGAACAACTTGAAGAGATTGGATTGTCCTCCCCTGGGATCGGCTGGTTTGAACCTGGATCTATCTGAAATGAGGGACCCTTCCACACACTGGATCTTCCAGCATTTTCATCTAAGTCTTCAATAATTGCTCTTGAGATATTCCACAAACAAGCATAGCACAACATAGTCACATAGCCTTTACAGGAGGTTTGGAAAATGATGATGGATGTTCTGCTACCGAGTGGTGGCTCTGTGTTAGCTTGTGGCAATGCAAGGCTTGAATCTTTGCATCCAGCATGATCCAGCTCTCCGCTCAATCCTCCTCCAAAGCCCAACAAGTTTGGGATGACGAACCCAACATGTCACTATGGGTCACAGCTACAGCCAGTCATTCCCATGGCCCGAAAGACAAATATCAAATATCCCATAATGTCGATTTTGACTCATCCACATTGGCCAAACTTATATACTTCAGAAGGAAGACAGTCTTTTCTTCTTACTGGCTCTTACAACATCATGTGCATCAGTGGTTGAATTAGGAAGTCCATTTCAGGTGTCCAGGGACGGTCGATTGTCATGCGCTTTTGGTGATTCTAATGACAGTCCTGGTAAAATGTATGCCGGGACCCACAAGGATTATCAATAGACACCCCTAAATCAATCATGAAACTGAGTCTTCTAGTAGGTTGGAGGCCATCGCTATTGGGTTGGAGGCCATTGCTAGAAACAAAAGGAAGAAAGGTCCAATATAGTTGATCCAGCCACTTGGCTGAACCACCACCTTTAGTGCCTGTCTCTGTGCGCGTTGCACGATGCTCTCCTTGATCCACTGCAAGGCCATGTTCAACCGCCTTCGACGCTCCTGGCGAGATCGAAACACAAGGCAAACGGAGCATCTAACTCCATCCGTTTCCATGTTCAGACTCTTTCCGCTCTTTGATGCTTCCAAACCTTCCAAGCATCCCAAAGTCACTGTGGGAACCTCCTTTTCGATTGCTTGAAAAAGGGAGTGAGCAATGAAATCTGTCTAGCCAAATACCATATGAGATGCTCTCGGTGTGTTCGATCTTCTGACCCACTCGCACTGACCAACACTTGTCAGAATGGCTCGCTCGCGTTCTTCTTGCGCTTCTCGCACCTCCACAGGTCACTTCGACACTGCTCACCGCATCTGCGCTCCGCCCGTCGAAGGATTTGACACAGGACTGACATGTTGGACAAGTTCACAGATGCAGTTGGACTTCGTTGGATAAGCTTGCAGCGTTCAGTCATTTTTGGTTCATTGCTGTCCATCGTCCCTCTACCCAGAGGACTGTCCAGATCTTCAGCCGCAAGCACGCTCCTAAGGACAAAATAATGTAAGTCAAACTAGTAATTCATCATTCACATTTGCCATTTCCAGATGGCATCCCCTCTGTGTGGTGGTGCAAGTTGGAGTGACCCATACTGATTCTCCAGGATGTCTGATGTTCAGGAAACAGTGGTCAACTTTCAGTCGGAACTGTGGTGGAACATCGGTGGACATCAAGGAGGGACACCTGAGCCATCCGGAGCCCGACTCCACAACCTCGTCCCTAGAGATTCCGAGACGGTGTGGCGCTCCACTCACCCCACCAAACATTGGCTTGGCAGTGGATCGGACAATTCCTAATTATTGTGCGGTATGTATGGGCATGCCATGCGGCGTGTCTCCCAACGCAATCTCTGCAGGTTCACCTTGCCAAGTTCACTTTGAAGCTTTTGCTCAAGGAGTTCCTGGCTCGGGTCAGACCGAGGATGCCTCTGGCGGACCAACCAAGATCAACCACACCGAAATCTACGGAGGTTTTTCCTAAAGATTAATAAAAACATCTCTGATGGGAGACCATGGTAAATCGACAATCCAACCACTGAAAGTTGCTTCCAAAGACCATATATATATAAACCTATGGGAAAAAAGAACTTAATTCTGCTAATTGCCCCCAAACTCATTCCATTCCAGATTGCCACCCCCCCAAAAAACAAATCATCTTCTTCATCAGTATAGAATTGCAGGGTTTGAACATTCGGATTGTCTCACCAAACGTGTGATGGCCTCAACCACAGGAGGTACACCATGGCCTGTATGATTCCTATGATGCAGTATCAACCTAAGGCGTTCATAAAGTCATCACCTGCACAATCATGCTGAAAGGTTTCATAAGTTGTCCATCCACTTATGGTCTGCCACCTATAGGCCTATAGGAGTTATGGGGGCCACAGTTCCCTTCGGCTGCCCGAGTCACTGCGAGCAAGAGACGGCCTCTCCTGTCGCTTGAGCTCCCAAAGCTGAGCCGCCTTCCGGTGCGTCTGGAGACGTTCTTCCACCTGAGGCGTTTCGGTAATTCGGAATGTCTCAGCTTCTTGTTACTACTAGTAAGGCACTTGTTACTACTAGCGATGCACTTGTTTCTAGTAGCTTCTTGTTACTACTAGTAAGCTTACTCGTTTCGGTAAAGCAAATCTCGCTTTTTGTTTCGAGTTGGCACAAACCAAAAGCTTGACTGAACCAAAGAAGCCATGGACGAGGTTGGTCCAGATAGATCCTCCAACTGCTTCAGTTGGTCCCTAAAAGTGAGGCTTCAGTGAAAGCCAGGCTGATGGATTTTGGGACTTCTAGGGATATCCTGATATTCATCATTCACATTAAATCACTGCTCTTCACCAAGTTCTCTGGCATCTCGGTTTTCTACGGACATGAGACAAGCAACTACAAGCCCACATATTTTGGTTGAAGGAAAGTGAACACACAGTGTGTTTCTTGTTGCTGAAATCAAGGTAGCTCTAAAATCTAAAAGCGCTCGTAGTTCGTTTTTCCACAGTTTCAATCTCAACAAAGAGTCTGATGAATAACTCCCGAACATTGGGGTGGTCCTCAACCCAGAACAACACCTCACCAAGAAAACCAACCCTTGTGGTCATCTATGTTGATTGGTTCACGGGGCACCCCTAAAAAACTTGCATCCTCACCTCATCGATGGTTGCAGGCACATCTGCAGTGTTCACCTCAGCTCACACTCCGGAGTGCTTCGAAGGTTGAAACATTGCAAAACATCGGATGGTCCGGACCGTATCTAAATCATTCGAATCCGTCCAGTCATCTCACCTTCTTGCACCATTAAGGTCTATTTCGAGGCACCGGTGGCACGATATGAAGCTCTTCGAAGAGTCTCAGCGACAAGGGGGTGTGGAGGAGCACCTGGCACATGAATCTGAACACACCCAATGTTGAACGTGGGAAAACACGCTATTGATTGATCCTGTGTGACTCCAAACCACAAGGAATCAATGCACTAACACATGTGTTTTTGAATTGTTTTGACATATTATGGACTTGCCATTGCCCACCCACATCTTTGCAAACTGTTTGATCTGCTTGCTCGCTCTTGTGGCGGTTTCCCCCGCTCCTTTGGCAGGTGGTTCAAACAGCTGATTCCACATGATTCCAAAGCCAGGCTCACCTGGCTTGATGTTCTCCCCGTTCACCTCCCACGTCTCATCTTAGGTGGATTTCCTGCTTTCCTCGCCTCTAGCTTTTTGGAGAGCTCACCAACCTCCCCGTCCTTCACTTGGAGTTTCCTTCACGGACCGGCCCAAGCTGACTCACTGGATGCCCCTCCTTGGTCAATGGCGGTTCCATTGGGGGGCTCTTCCCTCCATGGAACCAAGTTGCGTTGAGACCACTTTGGGAAGCCTAAACAATGTGGTTGCAACGAATAGCCCATAAATATCATTCAGTTCAAGCTGGTGCATCCGAAGTCTTAGACTCTACCTAGACCAGCTCCCAGGATGTCTTAGTGGGTCTTTGCACTTCCTCTGCAATATGATCGGTTTTTACAATTTTCCTCTTCTGCGTGGAACAAACTGTGTTTTCCTTGAGAAGAGTGGGGGCTCCAATGAACAAGATTTGCAATCAGCATTGATGAGCAAATCTTCACAAAGACTTGAGAGGCGACGGGTGGACGAAAGGTAGGTAGGTAGGTAGGTAGCTAGGTAGGTAGGTAGCTAGGTAGATAGGTAGGTAGATAGATAGGTAGGTAGATAGATAGGTAGGTAGATAGGTAGCTAGGTAGGTAAATAGGTAGGTAGGTAGCCGGGTAGGTAGGTAGATAGGCAGGCAGGTTCATTCATGATATCTTAACACCAAGAATGTGCTTGTGAGTCACACTTCGTAGCAAGCGCTGCAGCACCTTGCTTCTACTGAGCGCCATTTGCACGGGGACATAGCGCCAAGTCTGAACAGTAGAAAAAATAACATCAAAAAGGGAGAGACCAGGAAGGTTCAATCCACGTCCCGAGCGGGGTACCCTGTTCACAAGCACGTCAGGCCACCATGGTGACCAACTTCCTCACAGCCAGACCCCTCCACACCTCTTTGGGCATTCCTTCTCACAACAAGCAAGGCATCAACGATCAAAAAGATTGCGCGGCCATTGCACGCTCCAAGGCTGGCAACCAAGGCATCCCTCGAAGGTGGGTCAGCCGGATTGGCATGAGGGGCATCCCTGTCAAGGAAAAGAGTTTCAAGATCCAATCTGCTTGAGTAGCCTTTGATTAAGGCTGCTTTAACCACTTCTCAGTCTATGAAGAGCAGCAAATCGGCACCAAACTGGGTGGTTAGCTGCAGCTTCTTCACAACAAACGCAGCCCCTAACCGGCCCTAACCACCAGTGAACACATTGTGCAACAGGAATGGCAGACTGGATCGAAGACACCGGCTGGAACCCATACTTATCATCAAAAACTTGAAGGACACAAGGTTGAACAACGACATCAAATTTCATTGATGGCTGCCGACCGCCTGTTGTCATTGTAGATGGCTGACGCAAGTCCAAACGAGTGACCAATCATGACGCAAAAAGCAAGGCTCATTCGAGATGGGATCCTGCAAGCAAATAATGCTGAACTTTCTACAGTATGTGATCCGGTTGGATCCCCACTTGCCGATATACTTTCCGACCGGCGACTTGGCTTCTGAAAGAATGAATGAAAGTACCCCAACGCGGCCACATTCGCATCAGTCGAAAGAAGTTGGAGTTTCTCGGTGATTCGAGTGATCTGGTCGCCCAAGTTGGTTGTCGCATTTATCACACCATCAAACTTTCTTCTTCTGGACCACCTCGAAGCGCTGAGATTGGGACCTATAGTCAGAACAAGACAACAACGACGAGATCTGTTCCTACGAACAAAAAGGTCCATGAACCCTCGAACACATCTTCGAGCGTCGTATCCCAGGGCTTCTGCAAATTCTACTACGTGCTAGGCCCTGCCCTGCTAGGCAAGTTCCGGACCTACCTTACCGAATGCAAACGTGCTAGTATTTACGTTGTCATACTGGTCCACGCGCAATCACGCGCACCCCCTTGCAACCTGTAAGGTATGCTGCTTTTGGTTTCCACAACCTTCCCCTCGCTTGCGTATCCAAAGGACGACTCCAAAAGCCGGGAGGTCTCCATGTGTGACGCCCTTGAGGTTTCCATGTAGGAGATCTGCTGCCGCAACTCATGGCGCCTGGGCAAAGGCATAACTCACACTTACTCCTGAAACTCCAAGCATTGAAGTTGGTGCATCAGTGACCTCCGCATTCACAACATTCTGTGGGAAAAGTGCGAACGACGGCTTCTGGACCCCAGAGACAACCGTGTTCTTCACCAGCTTGTGCAACATTACACTGGCATATCCGGAAAAAAGATTCCTGGATCATTCCTATGGCCCAAGATGTTGATGTTTCCATGAAGCCATGCTCTTTATGAGTTTCTCCCTCATTCTGGCCAAGTAACGCCAGCATCGCCTCAGAGAAAGGAATGCAGGGAACAGGCCGAACACTACAAGCGGGGCAATTGATATGCTAGGACTTGGCTCCAATCATCCCAGGTAGCCCTCAGATCGGAAGATTTGGAGCCCGGCCGGACCCCAGTGATGATGCTTGGATTTGCTGCATTCCAATACAGTACCTGGTGCTATGCAAGCTCTAAGGCTCCTTTCAACAGGTGTTCATGCTGGTTGCCCTCACACACACACACATTCTGGACCCTTTGAAGGTTTGCTGGAGAGCAGCTTCCGTCCACGTCTCTTCACATTCTATTTCTGGGGCCCTGGTTCTCCTGCCGCCACTTGAATGATCTGATTTCCAAACGGGGCAAATAAGGAGTATATAGGTGGGTTAACTTGTTCTCAAGCTCTTGAGCTCTTAAGAGATTTGGGGTGCTAGGGACTTGCCTTGGCAGTTTGTGAGAGGCTACCAGGCAACACAACCAGCAAGCACGTGAAAACACCTGCCACGGTTTCAGACAAATCTAGGTCTTCCCCCACAGACTCTGCCAAATTAGGAACGCTATTCCTAGACCCCTATCCTATCCAGATCTGCAGCAGCCCAAGCCCAAGGCTTTTGCTATATTGAACAGGCCCACGTCAAAGCTAAAAGCCGGGTGCTTTGGGGCTTGACCAGGGTTTGAACACCAAATTCCTTGTTTGATGCGTACAAGTCACGATCGTCTTGCCTTGCTTGTTTCCTGAAGGAAAGAGATCCCTGGAATCCCAAACCCAAAGCCCGGAGTCGGCTTAAATGATAAAATTGCCTTTCAATACTGGTTCAACCGGTTTCACTTGTCTATGTTTAGTCTTCCCGAATCGGATACGATTCATAGCACAACTCATGGTCATCCGAACGAGCAAATGAAGATAGAGGTCAAAGAATAAAAAGCGGGTGTCCGAGTAGCAAGGAGGTTCCATTGATTTCATACCTGGACAATCTAAAGGACCTAAACAGTCTGCACCAAAGTACCAAACTTCTGATTTCCAAACTGGACACCTGATCGATCCTCTTACCTTACTCTACCGAGATTCGCAAGGACATGTGCGTCTTGTCTGGACACTTCCCACGGCAGCCTTTATTTGGCCTCAGCCATAGCACACAGGTTGTTGGTCCCAACTTGCTTGAAACATGTTAGGTGGGTTCGATCATCGAAAACACACATTTTCTGAAACCACCACCCAGTATATGTGATATACTATGATATATATATATATGATGTGTATACTATACATACACATCATGCTTGACAGCCTCCCAACATTGAATAAACTCTACTGGAACTCATCTTTCGTGAAAAGGCACAGCTTGAGGGATTTCAGTCCAATAAGAGGGGTATCGGTCTCATCCATGGCATTCCATGGCTGAGGTCTAGACCTGCCAGCATCCACAGCAGCCTTCAGCATGGAGCCAGTCAAGCGGCCACAAACCAAGCAGCCGCACTGCAGGAGGAAGCGGCACACCTGCAAACGTCAAACATCAACGAGCAGGGACGAAGCCTTTAAGCAGCACACACCAACATGCTAACTCCAACATCCTGACTTTGGTTTAAAAGACACGTCACAGGGTACAAAAGTAGGCAAGTTTTTCTTTGCTGAGGTGTTGTTGGGGTCTGGTGTATTAGGGGGCAGCACCGAAAGGTTGTTCCGCACGCACACTAGGTGGCGCCTTGAATGGGTGATTGGACACTCCAAGGTCCAAGGCATTCATTGGCATTGGCAAGAAAGGGCACTAGTTGTTTCAAAGACACACATAACAAACATGATTAAAAACACAAAAACAAACGTTATGCCGCGGACGCATCTACGACACAACTACAGTCCACCGTGATGTATGTGGCCAACTATAGTACACCTTCCCACAAACAGCACCACCTATGACCACCTGCTCACTCCCCGCACCTCATAATGGCCCTTGGCGGCCGCGAGCATGATGAGGTTGTTGCCATCCTGTGGGTTTCCACGCTGCAAAGTCAATTGCCTGTTGTCTTTCCTGCACCACTGCACCGCTCAACTGTGCCCACGACACACGCCAAAAAGTAGGTTAATTAGAGTATGTAGCAGCTTCAGTGTAAGGGAGAGGTTGCATTTCAATATGAGAGCACCATTCATCCAACCTTCTCCTCTAAATATACTTACTCTGCCATGTCCACTTCATATTCTCCAGTCCATGATCAACTGCATGGCGCTGTGAGCTAAAAGCTATGCCCGAGATTCAACGCTAAACGCAGTGAGATTGTTTTATGTCTATATTGAACTACCAATTGATTGCTTCTCCTGAGACCAATTAGTTTGTAACTGTAGCTATGGTCTGAAGCCGCCGCGTGGCCTTTCAATCAGCAACCAAGGTGCTCCTTTCCAGATGTTTTCTGCTGTCTTTATTCAGTTGCACGAGTTTGCACAGTCTTATGTGGCTCCACGCCTTGTCGAATTCTAGATCCTTCCTTGTAGAACAAACATGAACTTGCACCAAACGGGACCCAAATCAAGACTTGGCTCAGCATTGCAGCCTGAAGGTGGTTGTAGCCACCTTCAAACCTTGGGTGGATCCCACTATTGACCTGTCGTACAATTAGCCACACTCAGCTCTTTGTGAGCCCTGAGCAGGTCCCCTTGTGTTCTAACAGCCTAAGGACAGACTTGCGAATAAACAACAAGCAATTTACATATGCTCTTTTGCTTTTGCACAAGCTAGCCATCACAATCGCAAATTGGCACGCATGCGGCGCTCCCTATCCTTTAAGAGCATAACTAAATCCACGTCGCGCCATTCTTCCCCTGGTAGTGTCAGCTTCGCTGGGGAGACAGCGAAGCGAAATTCAACACCTGTTTTGCACATCTTGCCATGAGCGCATCTGGAGACGGCTGAAAGCTGGATGCCCAAACTTGAGGCTGCCGAGCTCAGTGAAGGATGCCAAGTCCACTCATCACTGCTGTAAGCTCGGCTCCATACTGGTTTGCTGCCTCTATTTTGGCCGACTGCCACTGCGTTGGTGGAGTAGTAGTGGGCCATGTTTTCAGCATGTGTAACCCATTCCAAATTTTCACGGGCATTGTTGCTCCTGTTGGAGTCTTTGTGGTTGATACACCTGCGAAGTGGGGTCGGTGGTGCCCCCAGGAAACTGAAAGCCACCAAACGGTGAACAAGTTCAGTCCTTGCACGGCCATGAATAGATACAGTTGTTTCAGAATAGCCACTCCTGTTTACATGGCCATAGTGGACACGTCCATGCTGTGTTGTCACTCGGCCACAGGAACTCACCCTCCTTCCTGCCACCTCCTCACCGGAAGCCGGATCACGCATCGGTAGCCACTCCTCTCCCGTCAAATCTGGCTCACTGACATTGTGGTACTGGAACTCGAAGCCTTTCACTGGGAGACTGTCACGGCAGGACTTTGCCACTGTGGACCGGTGCATGCCTAGCTGTTCTGCTGCTGATGCCGCAGAAGAGCAAAGTGTCCAGCTTTGAGACCCGACTGCTCTCCACCACACCGGCTTGGAATTGGATCTGCCATGCTTCCTGGAAGGGCTCTCATGTGAATATTGTGCGTTTTGGCTATTGGTAACATATTCCAAGTTGTTGATATGATTGTTTGCTCTATCGCCATCACAGTGATGCACCTGCCACGCTTGATTGCATACTGGCAATCCATGGAACGTGATCTTGACAATACGATGAACAGACCAAATCTGCTCTCCAATTCCAACCCGCCGGTAGCCAGAATGAGCAAGAGATCCTGGTGTCACAACTCCTCGTGTATCTCGGCACCGCCCATACGAGCTGACCTGCCAGCAGCCACTTGGACTTTGCAGTGGCTGACAGGATGCGAATCTGACAGCGTTGGAGAACACGGCGGGAAATCTGTGGCAAGGGTGCCACCCCACCAGCATAGCTACAGCTGTGGGCAAGTCATGCAGTCATGCAAATCAAGAATTAGCAGCCAGTTCATTCATAAACCGATACAACCACCCCCTCCGGAGAAAAACACCTGTCCAGCAAAAGGTGACCGGCAGCTCATCTACCCACGATGCTAAGGATTGTATGTCCTTGGCAGATTATGGTGAGTGGAGGAAGGTATCAAGCGAAGCCATGGTCAGTTTTACGACATACGACAGTCCAACTTGTACCAACCCCTCTGTTTTATCCTTCAGCGGATGGTCTGAGCAAACAACTCTGGTCCTCACGGCGTGCATCAATGTTGGCACCAAACTGCACCAGCACCTGGCCATTTCCCCCCCACGGCCAGCCAATCGCTGAACCTGTGATTCAGTGATGGTTTGTGTAGAGTTTCTCAAAGTGCCCGTGGTATCTGTGACAAAAAACTGCGGTAAGTAATTAATGCGCTGCGATGCGCAGCTAGGACTCACACAACAATGGCATAGTGACATTGAAATTGTTTGGTTGGAGCCCTCTAGTAGAAACCCAATCAGGGTGCCTGGCACTTAGTTGTAGTGTTATTCTGTATATATATATATTTGGACAAGAACTGTCTGCGGATTGGCTGTGTCTACGATCAGAATCTGAACTACATACAAACAGGCCATACCAAATCCGATGAACGTATTGATGCACACATCTGCAAATCAGCACTGCACTATCTGCACTGCCGGTGCATCTGATGACAACATAACAAACCAATATAGCCGCTGTCAGGAGAGTTTGCGGGAGACTCTTGTCCTCGTCCCGGTTGGCTATGCTAGTCGGGAGGAGTCTACCTATCCGTCCCCTCACCAAACCTTCAAGGATTCCAGGCTTCCCTCGTCCGCGGCGATGATGGCAGGCGTGCTCCGACAGAAGTACCTCTGGCAACACAGCGCTCTCTCTCTCTCTCTGACTGGACATGATCCATGAATTGCACAGATAATTAACTTAATGTACATGCATGATTACTCATGACTTTTTTCCCTACCAAAAAAGTGTGTTCCATATCAGAAGGGGCAAGATGTGCCCAACTTGTAGAGACACACTACAGTCCAGGACTTCATTTTCGCGGCTGAAGGCCTATAAAGGAACCTTCTTGTCATTTATTTCACTCGTTCGTTTGGAACCACTCGAAGGAATCCAAATCACTGAGTTCCTCCGCGCGTCGTGTTGCCCGCTCTTTCAGCTCACACCAAGCCACGGTTGGGCCCGCCGGCAGCGTGCGTCCAGCTGCACAGGACTTGCCACATTGCGGTCGTGCTCCAAAAGAACTTCACAAGTGCCAGCGCGGTTCAACCGTGCCGCCTGGGGGTTTTGCAGACCGTTTGCAGGACTGGTGGCTACACTTCCGAGACCCAAATCTAGCGGAGCAAATCATTTTTGGTTCTTTGCTTGGGGATGGGCGCAAACTCCATCTCAGGCCTCAAGGCTCTAAACCAACGGCTGCCCCTTCGGGTGCCAGCCCTGACAACACTGTCGCGTCCCCTCGCATGCCCTCGCTCGCCTCATGGAGGGGAGTCCAACCCTCCGGGTCCTTGGGTTGAGTCACAGGCCGAGGACATCTGATACATTGGGGGGGTCTATGAAAATCAAAATTTGGGGGAGGAGTTGTGTAGTCAGCTTGGGTGGAAATGAAGATCTTGTCGATAAACTGACTCTTCTGTTCGACCAAATGTTTGAGATGGGATTAAATGGGGTTGGATAAAAGGAGCACTTTGACCGGATAGCAGCCAAACGGTTAAACGAGTCAAATTAATTACCTATATTTGTACATGTTTAAGATCTCAAGCAGCAAATAGCTGTCACAAGATCCATAGCCTCGATGGACAACGAACCACCGACCCAACCCTTGAATGCCTGCAACATTGAAGCCCTATGCCTACAGCAAGTTAACTTGATCCTTTGTTCACTTTGCTCTTTCAAGTTTCCGCGCTTGCCAAAGGATCTCCTTTCATGTTCAAGAGGAACGTGGCAATTCGCCTCAAGGGTTGCCAACTGCGCCGAGATCTCGGAGCTGCCTCTTCCCCATCTCAGCTTCCTCTTTTTTCGGTTGTCCTATCTCGTTTTCAGTGAAAATACCGGGGCATCTCCGACAAAGAGTCATAGCTAGGTCCCAAGAACGTGCCATGCCCCACTTGGGAAGGAAAGATCCAGGCTGAACGACGGCAGGCATCACAGTCCCTTTTTTTGATGACTGGGCAAATCCGCTTTGAAGAACTACTTCCTGAAACACAATGGGTGTCAAGCAGGTTCTCTACGATTCTTTACCCAAAGCCCAAAACTCCACTTATTCAAAGCCCAGCGACACATGGCCATGCTTGGCCGCCAGCAGCAACGGGGTTTGGCCCTGCCAGTTCGGTCCATTCACGTCTGCTCGCTCTTCCTGGGCAACGGGAGGAGCGGCGAGAGATCCAAGTCCACCAATGGTGGTCCCAGATCTCAGCTGATTCTCACTCTACAAATGGTGTATTTAGGTTTATAACACTTATAAACACTTGCCTGACCTGATGTCAGGTGAAAAGCGCACAAACTCTTAAGGCAAACGGTGGTGGTGAAGAGTTCCATTCATCCACAGAATGATCTGAAACCTTCAAGATACCGGACGCTTTTCCTTAGGAACACTCAGTCTTCAGCAACTCTAGTCCAGGAAAGTCGCGTTGACAAGGATCCGTAAGCAGTGGCTTTACGAAAAGACCTAACTCGCCTCGCCTCGTCATCCGATCCACCCATGCCCAGTCCGACCATCTCCAAGCATCGATAAGGCGCCGCAAGGGATCTTTCCACTCACAGTCGCAGGAGCCCTCGCAGTGCGAACAGCGAGGGACCTCGCAGCGGTAGCCCACCTGGGTATGAAGAGTACTTGCTCGCAGAAAATGCGAATAAACAAAGGCGAACCCCAGGAATCATATATTCAATTTAGGGATGTCTTACAATCAACCCCCTCCTCTGGCCAAAAGGGTTGAGCTGTATACTCTTAAATTATTGTGTGGTTCGATGTTCCCATACAACAACAGCGCGGCATCCGAATGCTCACGCCTGTGTGACGAAGACAAAGCCACACCATGCCACACCCTCCACATGCATCCGGCCCCGGTGTCGGTCACGACTGGATGCTCCAAGGGGCCCAATGGTGCTCTCTGTCAGATTCACGAGACGAGTGTGACATCGCCTGAAGGCCGAGAAGTGACCATCCGGATGGAGACGTGAGACTTGAAGAACAGAAACACACCTTTTTGCATCGCCAAGGTGGGATCTGCCTTTGAGTGCCAATGCTGCTCATATATTTGTTGGAGATGTTGCATCCTCTCAAGGGACCTAGCCTGAAACACATGAAGAATTGGAAAATGGCCCAATGAAACAGGTTCCTCAACAAAATGGGATATTGTGGTTTCATCTTTTTATTATCGCCAATACGAGTATCATCCATGAAAGCCAAGGCGACCGAATCTTCATCAAAAAGCTCCGAAAGCCGTAGCTGACCAGTTTAATTATCCAATCGCTCCAAGCAAGGTGTCGAAGCCTATTGTTAAAACAGGTTCTCGTTCACATTTTCTCATACTTTGCTAGATGCTGGATTCTCAAGTCACTGTTACAATTCACTCTTGCCCTGCCGAGCTCGCTAAAGCTACTCGGAACTCAAGACCGGCCTCAGATTCTTCCTCGGTCTGGACACCTATCGAGCGCCAACAAAATGTGAAGAATTGAAGACCCGGGCCTGCTGCAAGCTTGTCTCAGTGTTTCAATTTGCTCCAACACTTTGTTTGACTCTGCATTCGAGGGAAGGAAAGCCTTCAAATCTTCACGAGGTAGCAACATGTACCAAACACGCCGGCCTGGAGCATAGTAACACCGACAAGTGAGAGACCTGCAACACAGCTGAAAGAGGCGATGAACAAATCACCACTTTAGAAACGATCCAACCACCTGCGCCAACATCACCTGGTATCGGTTTAAGTGTCTGTCCAACGACTAAATGAGGCAAGCAGCTACACCCACACAAGGGGTGCCGACTATCATGCTTCATTGTCATAACTCAGCCAGCATAACACATTGAACCTTTTGCATTGCCCACGCCAAGGGTGACAGCTAAAGCTGAAACTCTGTGCGGGTGCAAGAGACACAGCCAGGCTATGCAAAGCCCCAAACAGTGCGCATGCGAAGGCCGCATCCTAAGTCGATAAGTGAATTCCCATATTTAACCAGGAAGACCTAGCGAAAACATGCGAAACCATAAAACAGGACCCATCGAACCCAAGCACCAAGTGCACGACCATGCAAAAATCCCCAGGCCCCAGTTACTCTGGTGCCCTCTGCGCAGTGTCCTTTGCATACGGCTTTTGGATGTTCTAGGTACCACAGAAACCTTCTTCTTTTGCACAGGCCTCTGGATCAAATCCAGCAACTGATCCACGAAGAAGCCCCGCTCTCGGACGTTCCGTGCCAGAAAAGCCTGGGAACGTTGTGGGTGGTGACTCTGAGGCCCAGCCTCAACTAAGCGATCCCATCGACCACCTTGTCCCCATCCAAATTAATTAGCATAGCCCACCCAACACCTAGTTCGTGCTGAGCCGAAGATCAACTAAAACCCAAAGCAAGCCAATCTGACTTGTCCGGGCCGAGCAGCACAGCGAGGAGGCTGGTTTTGCATCAGCGTCCAGGTGGCCTGATCCACAGCACTCGAAGAAATGACCCAAGCATATTGAACAAATCGGGTGAAACATGGGGTGCCCATGGGCGTCCCGAAAATACACCTTGCCAAATGAGGAAAGCTCTGGAAAGGCAAAGCCTATGTCAGATCTTTGGAAGGTATGAGAGATGTCCATGTGGGTCTGTCTTTACATATGGCAAGAAACCCACATCGATTCTGAAAATCACTAGTAACAAGGGCATTGCTACTAGCAGTAATGCCCGAATGCACTGAGTAGAAATGCATCGATGCATTGAGCACTTCGGAGCACCTCAAGAGGTTGTGCATTCACCTTGACTATTTTGCTTTCTCGTACTTGAATATAAGCAGTTGGAACTTGGAACTGTTAAAAGTCGAGAAAAACATTGTGGACATTGCGCTGCCACAGCCAAAATAACCGCGACTTGCAGTCATGTTGGGGTTTGTAGTAAGCATACTCTAAATAAAATTACCAGTATCATCAAATTATGACAAAACGCCTCTCGTTCCTTTCTTTGCTAGCTGGCCAATAATGCACCTCACCACAATTTGAACCCAACGATTCTTGTCTCAACAACTCTGGTCACCTCAAGATCTCACTGAACGCGCCTCCAACATGGGCTTCAAGCCTAGAAAACCTCGGGAAGCTCTTCGCGTCTGTCCGGTCTTCAATGCCACCAGGTGGTTGGGGTCCTCATCGACGGTCCACTGGGGAGAGGGACGACGAACGTCGAAGAAAGTTAAGTAACATGAAGTAAGCAACCAAGCGACCAAACAAAACGCTAAAAGAGAACATATAGAAAACTATGGAACAATGATTATGTGACAAACGTGTTTGCTCGGTGGCACGCGTCGAGCACAGGATGAACGGATCCACATCAGTGGACTCTCACTGACCCAGCGACCGACTGACTCCGACCGACTCGATCGGTCAGTCCTTCCATGCTGGTCTTGCACGGAAGTAGACGACCAACGGGAAGCGCGTCTTATCCTCAAGGGAAGTTATAAGTACATAGGAAACCATTAGTACACTCCATTCTAAAATCAATCTTTGATCACTTCTGGGAGGGAATACCTCATGTATGATATTGGCATATCAAACAGTTTGTTGGTGATATGTTGCCTCCTTCTTAGTCCGTCTCCTTTTGATCCTGCGTTCTCGCTTGCTTGTTAAACCACTGCTTTGTAGGAATTTCTGCGGTCGACATCTGGAGCCCGCATAGCAACCACCTTTCTTGCCGATTGCCTTGAAAGACTTTTCGGATGTCACATTTACGAAACCTTCCAGCAAACAAGGCACAAACCTTCCCACCCGTGCTGAGATTCACGTCCTGGCAGTGTTTGCTTGTGGCCTTGAAGCGCTTTCCATCTGAGTCTTCCATGTAGAATTGCTGACCTCCGCTGTCTGCGAATTATGCATCCGTGAAATTCTGCTTTGGGCGTGGGGTGAGGATTGGAAACATGATGTGCAAAACAATGTGCAGTATCGAGGCGAAACATGGAAGTAGCACAACAAAATGATTCTTGACCTCATTCAAACAGTAAACAAACTTATGGAACCCAAAGTCCAGAAACTGTCCCTTTTGCGGAATGACAAAAGGCACAAATTAGCACCCTGCGACGATTGACCATTGGATCATTAAGGACTAGTAACCAACATGTGTCTACGCCTATGCGCATCTCAGAATGCTTAGCGCAAACACTCGAGAACCAGTCAATCGCGCTGTGGCGCGGTCACTCTGTGCCTTCATCCCTGAGGTGTAAGTTTTTGGAGGCCAAGAAGGATGCCACCTCTGTATGCCAGTCAGCTCCAAAGGGAATCTTCACCTCTCCAGCAATACAACAACGATGGAAGTGGTCAACAAACACATGTATGGAGGAACTGTGACAATTATTGTTTGCACCTTTTATTCATCCATTTCCAAACACAACAAGGGTTTGTCGGTCGGGACTTGTGATATACCACTTGCATGAATGGCCTGTCGCAACCATTGTTCAGAACATCCACTTGTGTGAAACAAATGGTGGAAGTATATAGCAATGTATGTGTGTATGTGTATATATATTAAAATATACATATACATAATGGATTTGATGTTTGGCCTAAAATTTGACACCCTCCCTACTTCGGATGTGGATTGTTGTCAGAAAAGTGTGTGAATATATAAACTATATATCAGTCGCAAATATCAACAACAACTTGTTTGTGTGAGATTTGCCGGTTCACCCTATGGTACACCACAAAGAGTCCAAAGTCAAAGGTCTGCTGATTGAGAAAATCCTGTCTGCAAACGGTCTGGGCTTAAAAACAAGACACCCGGTACCGGGGCTGCCTGCTGAAAACCTATGTCTATAATTGCAATGTCATATGGTCTGGACCCAAAAATGCGAGATGCGTGCGCACGTCAACGCTACGTTCAACCAAGTGGAATTACGACACGAAGGTGTGTGAATGGTGACCCCAGTGTCACGTTTGGCAACCAGTCGGTATCTTCCGCACTTCAGTCCTCAGTATTCTTTTGATAGTCACGGTGTTTCGGTACAAAGGCAGCCATGGCAGCCATGACGGCTCTAACGCCTGCGCAGGTGCCGTTGTTGCAGGCGAAGCTTCCTTCGAGGGGCAAGGGCGTGAGCCATCAACAAAGCGAGCTGGTGAACAAATTTGCGGAGGAGTGAGGCAAAGCGCCAGAGGAGCCCCTGCAAGGCACGCAAAGACCGCAAAGAACAGAAGATCAGCGGCATGCAGACCTTGGACAGGTCTGGCGACAGCTGAAGCTCGACTCTACGTGCCTTGCAAGCCGAGTCTCGCAGTGACTTGTCGAGAGTTGGCATGAAAACGTATGGAGCTTCAGTTGGCTTGCAGCCACCATGGGAATCTGGAGGATTCACTTGCAAAGTCGGCTGCCCAGTGGAACCGGGAGCACGGTCGCATTTGCGTGTCTCTAACATACGGTACGAGTGCCACAACGCGAGAGCTAAGCCAATTAAGCACCCACTCCAGCCCACCAGTTTGCGCAAGCCTCCCCCTCACAGCACCGGCGCCCAGCATTGGCACCAGCACCAGCACCAGTCTTGTCAACGAGCACAGCCAGCTTAGATGCTCTTGATGCAATCGTTGTTGAATACAAAGGCCACGCAGATCCCTGTGACTTTGCAGCTCGCCCAGTTGAAATGCACTTCGAAGATCTCGAGAGGCATGAATGTGCGGTAATGTGCGATGTAATATATAAATAGCATGGAATTGGTCGCGCATGCCGGTACACTCCTGAGGAGTCGCCAACCCAACCAACACTCTCTTCCCTGGACGACTGGTTCCGACTGGTTTGCGCCTGTGGCCAATTCACATAGGTCGCTCTGCCCGCGGGCTTGCCAATGCCATGGCCACGTGAATGGCCATGCCCAGGCAAGGGGTCTTGGTAGAGCAATATCCAGTCTCTCCACTCTTCTAAGGGTTGCCTCCTGCATAAGAACTGAGTGGTACAGGGAAGAACAGCTCAATCAAAGGATGTCACGAGCAGAAAGTTCCGAGGCTTAGAAACTCCCTCTGGCTCATCATTTGATCTGAAATATTTAGATATATGTATGTACAATTATGTACATGTATGTACTGTGCAATACAGGAACCTGACAAAGGCCCCATCTTGCCACTATTACAATGCCAAATCACCATGGCAACGCTGTTTCCCAGATGTCATCCCCCAAAATGTAGCTATAGGATGCAATAGGCAATCTATCAGAGTTTGTCCCAGCAGGTGTGACTCGATTCATCCAGCGGAGCCACTCGGCAGCTTCTTGGCCTGCGCCTTGCAAGGTCTGACAGCCCAGCGTCCATCGGTCAGAGGTGCTGGTGTGTTGTGCACCAATTGATCCGACCCCATGGAACACGTAAACAAGTAAACATGGTCGTCCCAATCAATCACTTCTCTCATTCCTCTGTCGGTCCCACTTAGGGTGGGACTCTGCATTCTACATTCGCTGGGAGCATGAACAGTGAACATCCATTTGCAAGCTATTTCGAAGTTCGAGAGCAGTAATTGTGGCAGGTTGGTTGCCCAGGAAATGTGGGTATTGACCTGCACGTGTCGGTACCTCTTCCCTCCATGTTGTTGCCCACCCTCAGTAGTAAACACCAGTAGTAAACATGTTTGAGGTCTCCGATTGCACTTGAAGAATGCACCAACGTAAGGATGCCAAACATCTTAGGTATTTCTTTTTTCTCGAAAACATCAGGAAGGAACTCGTAGTGTGAGTTGCTTTGGAGGGTGACTTTGTGAATCCATATGCCTCGGGCAATCCAAACGATCTTCTCTAGGGTGAGGCACCTCCATTGCTTGCTACCCCCAAGTTCTGAAACCTACAAGTAGACCTCCCAAAAGACCCTGGAGCATCAAAGAATATCAAAAGCAGTGTTCTTCATTTTTTGCCAGTGGTGTCTTTGGAGGTCTGATTGATCGAAGGCCCTAAGTCTCATGAGATCTATCCGGAGTCTGCAGGCCTCAGTCATGGCAAAACGGCAATATGCCGGAGATCATCAGACCACTTGGAGGTGGAGTCTGACAGACTATGACAAACTAGTTGGTTGACTCATGGTCTGCTAGGTCTCCTAATGTCTCCCACAATTGTGAGAATCCCAATAACCAGGGCCAAAGGGGGGAGTCAGGGATTGGCCTTCCAAATGCATCGTTGCCATTTGCGAGCTTTACTTGATCATATGCAGCAAACAACGAGGGGCATTGGTCCAGTTCTTTCAACGGGGGTATGCATGTGCATACTCTATTCACTTCAACGGTGCCGAAGTGTTCCGTCACACTTCATCAAGCTGCTGAGGCTAGCTTTGAGCCTCAAATGTAGGGCGCCCTTCCACAGCTCAACACGCACACGCAAAGGCTTCCAAAGAATCTGCTTTCCTAGTGCAACCTGCTTGGACCGTACTCCACAGTAAGCAATGCATCCTGGCCATGTGACATTTTGTCTATTGGACCTAATTCGTCATTTAGTTCCTTCTGCGGGATCAATATCAATCCCAAAACAGGCAGCTAATCCAAGCGCCAATGACGCGGAAGAACAGCTCTTTGGGGAGCCTCTTCCGCTCGACAGCATGAGGAGACCTCTCATGTGACGCCCTTGGCACCTGTTGAGGTAGGTTCACTCTCTTGAGCTTGCTGGTCGGCGGCCTGGTCAGGAATGACCCACGAGAAAATCCCTACGGTCGACGGTCGGAAATCGACCAACAAAATCCTACAAGTACAGTGAAGTTATGTCTTCTTGTGGCTGAGGCCCTGACTTTTTTAGAAAGCATACTAAATTTGCATAAATGAACATCAGGTCAAGAAACTGCAGGTTTATCTCTTCACAGCTCCCATGGCCCCAAGTGCAAAACTCCTTTGAAACCACTGAGAACACATGAGAACACCAGGAAAAAGACATAGGGCGAAGTTCGGGCAACATGGAGAGATTCTCCACAGTCTATCAATTGCAGTGCGTCGGGCCTCTTCCGGACCTTCCCCTCGTGACGACGGGGCTTCGGTGGCGCGAAGAGATATTCCTCGGAGCGCTCCTGGCGTGGCCACCAGCGAAACACGGTGAGAACGGCGGTTGTTGAAGAGCAAAAGCTTGGGTGGAACTCTTGGAATTGAATTTGACCGACAGCCGCTGGCTGGATGTTTTGAGATATGCATTTGGGAGATGGGGCTTACAAGGTATACCTGAACGTGTGATCATCCAGAATAACCACCGGCTAGGCTGAAGGATTCCGTCTCATAATCACTGGCAAATGTCAGGGAACACGACCACCAAGCTCAAGAGGCTTTCTGCCCACATTGTTGTGGTTGGGTACGTGTTCCAGCTTTGCTTTGAGGAGACCTCATGCATTCACCCCTCACTCTGACCAAAGTGGCTGCTAATTTTGATTTCCAGTGAGTCAAATGGGAACCGAATATGGACCTATTGTTCCTCGACCTGAACAAGTGGTGGATCACCTACTCCATCCTTGAATCCTACCGTCATCTCATAAACTCAAGCCCGGGGTGCTGACCTATAAAAACCAAGGGCGAAGCGACACCAGCAGGATCGTACCCTCCTCCTTTGGGACAATGATGAGAGAGCCTTCTGGGTTATTGTACCTGACAAACACCAATGATCTGCAGATAAATCTGTTGGCTGGCTGGATCCTATTTATTCCTATTTACATATTGCTCTAAGCCTTCTCAGCTAGCTCTCGCTCAAAGGTAACTTCAAAGAACTTGCCCCCATTCCTACTGAGCTCTGACTTTGTCTGTAGTTAGCCAATCCACGGCCTTTTCACAATTGGCAACTCTGACATGGGAACATGCAGCTCCCATCCTTTGTGACCTGATCGGTGAACGCCTCTCGCCGTGCAATTTCCGTGCCATAGCCCAAAGTGCTGAAAGTAGCTCAATTGTCCAAGTATGTCTCAAAATGATTCAACACTGTATATAATACAGTAGTCATATTTCAACATGTTTCAACCTTTCCCTTCTCGGCCGCAGCCGGCACAATCTGATTCCTGTCAGCCCAGTAAAGTGGCCTTATTTGGCATAGCCATTTTCAGCTGCCAATTTCCACATGCAGCAACAAATGCACGACTTCCAAGTGGCCATTCTTGACTGCCAAATGCAAGGCCGTCTCCCCATTGCTTGTGACCTCGTCTTTGCCAGCCCCGCTCTCTTTCAACAACCGAACAATTTCGAGATAGCCATGTTCAGCTGCACAATGAAAAGCGGTTGATCCATCTTTCGATGTGCCGGTGTCTGTGTCAACCCCAGCCTCCAGCAACAAAGGCACAACTTGCAGGTTGCCGTTGAAGGCCGCCATGTGCAAAGCTGTTGCTCCATCGTTAGTGACCTTGTCTTTGTCAACCCCAGCCGACAGCAACAAGTGTACCACATCCACGTGGCCTAAGTCAGCAGCGAGGTGCAATGCTGTAGCCCCATGATTGGGCACCATATCTTTGTCCACCTCGGCGCTGAGTAACATCCGTACAACTTCCAAATGACAATGGCCAGCTGCCACATGCAAGGCTATCACTCCATCCTTTTTGGCTTTATCTTTATCACCAGCAGCTTGGAGCAACAGCCGCAGAATTTTCCGGTGGCCATGCTCAGCTGCGAAGTGTAAAGCAGTGGCCCCAGTTCTTGAAGTAGCAGCTGCACCACTTCCCGATGGCCCTTTTCAGCTGCCAAATGCAAAGCAGTCTGTCCGAACCGATCTGTCTTGTCACAGCTGGCCGCTGCTTCCAGAAGCAAAGAAACGCATTGCTCATGGCCGGCCACCGCCGCAACGTGCAATGCTGTCCTTCCGTGTTTATTTGCTGCGTCTGGCGTAACGGGCAGCTGCAGCTGCTCTTCGACTTCACGCCAGTGATTCTTGGAACATGCGGAAACGAGCTTGCAGGAATGTTCACCTTCAGTTGCCCAGAAACCCAGAACTATAAGCTGTACATCTGCAGAAATAACGCTCGCATCAGTCAACTCATGGCCGGCCTCGTTGAACCATCTTTGCCGAAATCTGGGGACACCGATTCGCTTGGCCAATTCTGTCTTAAGGGACTTGACGGATTTGCTCTCAACCTCATCTGCATTGAAGGTGGCGAGTGCTTCGCCAAACATGGCCGAGCACACATGGAGCGCATCTGCTTTGTGCTAAGAAAACAGATGTGAAGCGAACCTGAACCTCGACACTTGAGCATAATGTTCTGCAGACTGACATCATCCTGAAGCTGTTGGATGAGGACATTGTCAAACCCTGAGAACCTGTTGCAGCTCGGTGGCCCTGAATGTCCTTAAAAGGTCCGATAGGGAGATTGAACTTCTGCAGTATCCTGTACGCCAAAACGAACTGTATGCACCAAGAGTCGTCTTCTCAACTCCAAGTGCTTTTTGCATCTTGCTGCTAGCAATCATGAAAACATCATCTTGAGCATAACACATCCTTTGCTCCTATGTGTTAACACATTGATTACATATAATTATCTATATATGTGGATATATGTGGCTACTATCTCTTCCAGGCCTTGTTCGTGTGTCAACACCAAAGACTGACGGCCCATCATGGCTCGCGTGGCTTCTGTCCAATCCGCGATGTCCCTCTGCGTTCGCTCAACCGGGCACTCGATGGGCTTCTTGGGTTCTTCGAAGTCGTTGGACTTGGGCAGAAGCTTCTTGCAATACCTACAGAGTTTCAGGAGTCCGGATATAATTTCAATATTACATTAATAGATACATAATAAATGATAATTATATATAATGATACAATAGTATACTTTAAAACATATATTTATAGTACATTCCAACCCCACTAACTTCAAAGGATCCCAGAAGGTCATGAAGCCTCTCTTCTTCATTCCTGAGCACTGCTGAGTCGTACGGAAACTAGAGATTGATTTGATACTGTGATACCGTAGCTTGAACTTGCTTGAGGAACCAGAAAAACACAAAACATATTCACGATGATGGGATTTATCCATAGCAACAATGAAAATCACCCTAAAGGTACCAGTAGCTGGTCCATTCGAAGGCCCAAAGCCTGTGGGCGAAGTGAGGGTGTCACTTGCTTCTGCCCATTGCCGTGTCTTTGAATGGTTCTAATATGTTCCAACCAATCACCATGGGGTGGTTGGGGACAGCCCCTCCAATGAATTGGCAGGGCAATTCTAAATTCTAACTGCCATACTGGGGGGCTTGGGAGGTTGATCTGAGGACACATTTATCGAGCGTCTTCGGAGCAAAGATAGTTGCTGGCAATGTGAAGGTATTCACACACACAAACACGTAGACTGCTATAGGGTCTCTGTTACATGGCCATGGCCCCTTCAATCCATCGTCTTTTGGGGAAACTGCAAAGCTGGGCGAAGAAAGTTCAATGACTCAATTTCTGGATATTGTGTCATCACTTGATTGAACAAGATCGGAGTTTTACTCAGAACAAACTGTGAACTCACTGGCCACTCTCAAATCCTCCCAAATCCAGCATCTGCCACTCGACCACTTGACTCCCAGTCAAGCTACACCAAGATTTGCTCCAACAAGCGCATCTCCGCAGAGCCCGGTGCCTCCTGGCAGTTTCCATGACGTACTGTGCTTTCACGTGGTTGCTTGTTTGGCTCACACCCAGATCACCTCTCTGTCATGCGGCCACTGTGCAGGTTGACACCTCAGCAACGACCACTTGGGACTAAACAATACAAAAAATCATCAGGATTGTTGGCGGGCCACTTCCATTTACCAGCGTGAAACACTACACAGTTGGGATCTATGAGATCGGCCAAGCTCTGAGAAACTGGGACTTCGATGTAATCATCACTCCGTAGAATATCTGCATCGCTAGTACGCTTTAGAATCCCAAACACCACTGCCCTAACGAACGGCGCCTTAGGCAGTTCCGGTAGTGCAGCAACCTGGGGTGTGCCTTGCGCCTGCAGAAAGAAACCATGCCACAGAGTCTCCGAAGTCAAGAGGATTGGTTTGTTGAACAATATGTTCCAGCGCATTGCGGCGGCATGATGCGTATCCCGAAGAAAACAATAGAAACATAGAAACATGACCAAAGCATGTGGTAGTACATGTACGAGTCGAAGAACAAGCATTTGTCACAACATCGGTGTTGCCAGCTCTCTCAAGCCCCGTGGATCTCAGCTAGTCGTTTTGATTTTTGGACACCCACTTGGACATTAGCCAGTGGAATCGCATGTTGTGGTAATTGGATCGACTGCTAGCAACCTGGCTGATCCTGGTTGTTGGTGGCAATCTAGACTGGAGGAATCTCATCCAATGAACTCCGGAAGTGGCTACCGGATCACAAAAAGACCAAGCAAGGCCTGCAATGCCTGCCAGTGCTTCTGATCCTGCCCGAGTGTACAAAGCAGGATGCGGATGCCAGCAGCTGCACAGTTGGTTCTGCACCCCAATTCTTTTTTGCAAAGACATGGGATCCGAGGTGTCTTGTCTTCCAAACCACGACAGGGGACTGCTATGTCAGGAGCTTGAGGGTATGCCTGTCAGCCATCTTGCCATCTTGCGGCGATCTCCTAGCAGTTGCTTGTGATGATAATGAACCGTGGAGAAGAACACACTGAGACTTTAACTTGTTCCCATTTGACATTACGTCTTCCTAAGTTTTCCTACTAAATCTAACCTACTAGCCAAATCAAAATTCAAGGGACGACCGCCGGCGACCGCGCACTTTCCGTTCTTTACACTCTCAAGCTGCCTCTACATGGTTTGCCAAAATGATCCTCATTTCTCCATACCCCTGCCTCCTCATGCTGTCTCCGCCGCTCCTGTGCGTGGAAGGTTGCGGGTCCATATTGCATGCCACCTCTCTCCAAGACTACCCAGTCGAACGAGAAATGTGGATGCAACGCAGCGTGTTTGTAGCAAGACAATTTCACATCTCTATCCAATGTTGATAGATAACCAGTGCAACACCCTTGGCAAACGTACATAGGACAATTGATGACAGCTGACATCTTGCAGTTAAGCTTTCAGTTACAGTAATCTTTCAGTTTCTGAGAGACATCGAATCCCAAACGAACAACGGCCAATCACAGGTTCAGCAAAAAACCGGGAGGTCGCCTTCTGGTCACAGGGGGCAACAAGCCAGGCGAGGATCTAACCAGAAAAGAAACACCGGGAGACACCAGGTGGCGCAAATTCGGTTGGCTGGGCACTGCTTGGGCACACTTGTCCATCTGAAGTCCCTTTGAAGAAACGACCTGGCCCTGCCTGCCGTAGCCGTTCGAGACGCTCTTCCCGAAAACGGCGGCGTTCCTGTCATGACACTGTCATGTACGGAGTCAGTGAAGTGTTTGGAGAGCTAGACTCAAAGGACTCATACCAGAACCATCCATGAGATCACCCAAAACTATACAGTACTCATGACTCCCCTACGCTATGGTAGGCAGTGTCTTCCATTCTACAATTCAGGTGTTTCCGGACCTTCACCCACTGATCTTAAGTGCTTTATGATTGAAACGATGGACACTTATCACATCTTATCACTGTTGAATTTGTCTCGGGAAGCAGCTAGCAATAGAAACTCAGGTACACTCATAGACTTCATCTTTACCGCCGTGGTTCAATGTGAATGCATGTCCAACCTTTAAAGGCCAGTGCCGCTTCTTACCGCAGACTAATTGAATATCGTGTAAATCCAACCGGAAAAAGACTGGCTTTCACAAAGGGTTGCTATCAAAACCTGCCCTTTTTGGGGACTTTCTTTGACACTGCCCACCTAAAGAACGGAATCCTCCTCTGGCCGTGAGGCAACTCAACGGCCCATCCACCGGAGCTCACCTCTTCCTCTTCCAATTCCTTGGCTTCCTCCTCGGATTGGATCGGTGGAGTCGATCAGCCAATGTGAGAACAAGGGCAAAAACCACACCTTCCAAGCTCAGTCTGACCTCTTCAAATACCCCAAATCAGGACATTCTTTTGCCACTTGTTCACTTGGAAAGGGAAACCAATCTCAAAAACTGTTACAACATGTTATAAGGTTGGCTAGTGTCTGCCATTGCAGTCACTCACACCTGACCGGAGCACACCGAGTGCCCCGTCCTCCTTGGCTTCAGCCTCTCGCCGCTTTGCCTGACACGAAGAAGAGTCCGGGCGTCAACTGAGTTGTTGAACATATAAACTATCATGACTGTATATGACTGTTGGAGTCATTGGTGACTGGAACCTGGAGATGGTCAATTCCTTCTCCAATGTTTAAGTGGTGTTCACTTTTTTCTTAGTGTGCGAGAGTGCTTCTTGATGTAGCACTTTCTCCAGCAAATTCTGATGTGCGGTCTCCAAAGTTGCCCTCAAACAAAGATAGAAATGGAACACACATCACAATGTGGATGAACATGTCTTGCGGGCCATTGCTCACTTGCATAATAGGAGTCATTAAAAGCGGTTCCGGATATTCAGGGGCAGTCATATGCTGTTGATCATGGGGCCAACATGGCCATTGTCCCCCAAAAGCGGGTCACGGATTGTCAGGGCTGGTACTGGTGCTGAAGAGGACAGCTCAAATTGACCTCACTTAAAGACGCTTAAAGGGTGATCCAAGATAGTAGGGATGCACTTCTGTAGATGGCCAGTCGCTTGGCTTAGATGGTCCATAGCACCTCGAGCACATCAAATCATTTCCAATTCGGAACTGGCATCGGACTGGGCAAGAAGGTCGAAGCAAATCTCTGGCACATCTTAAATGTTGTCTAATATGTCCAAAGACCATGAATGAAGAGCATCCACTTAATCAGCCGACGAATTCAGGTTCAGCACGATCCTTCATTGCTTAAGCAGTGTTTGGCAATCCATTGGTCCGTTCCTTTTCGCAGCATCGCAGGGAGGTTCTCAAGCTCTCTTCACTCATCCATAATCATCTACTCACTGGTGATGCACTTTTCGTGCCATCGCTGGTCGTGGTATCCGGGGGGCAGCCACGGCCTCTTCTTCTCGGCGCTTCTTCTCGGCTGCCCTCTCTCGAGCCTGGAGTCCTCCAGCGACTGGTTGTTTGGGAAAGTTATTGCCGGGACTGGCACTGGACTGGACACATTTCAACCCGACGCGGGCAGTCCATGTTTTTGCACCTCCTGGCACTTGCAGCAAACATATCTTTGAGATCACTTGATTCGCTTGGCTTCCAATGTATACTCGAGGTGCCAACACCTCTCATTTGCCTTGTTGCCAAAAAGCAGTCATGGCATGTTATGACCACGGGAACCAAATTGCATCCTCTGGGCGGCCATGGTTTCCTACTAGGAAACTATCCAGCTCTACATAGTTTGACCTCACCTCAGACAAGGACAGGAGGGAGTCCGCCATTGACCCTTCTCACTCTATCTCTTTGCTTGAAAACTTTTTCCCGTGCGCTGTGGCGAGCCCTAAATTTCCCAAAAAGCCCGCGGATAACTGGCACTGGCATCAATTGGTGTCTCCAAAGAAGTAAAACACTACGAAAGCACTCGCAAACTCGTAAAGGCCTTGACCCGGGAGGATCCTTATTCCGTCACCCATTCTGTCCCGGTCCTTGCGCGGTCGAACGCTCCAACTGCACCCTGAGGTGCACACGCCGATGCAATCGAAAACAAAAAGCTCGAAAGGTGACGCCTCAGACTCCCTGTTTGGATATGAGTCGAGTCGTTTTGAGATGCCATGCTCAAAATCAAAGTATTCACATTTTGACATCAAAGGCCAGAATCCGCCAGCTTCAAACTAGGAGGCCAACTTCAATTGGAGGCATTCGTTCAAGCGATGATGAACTTGAGATCCTCAAGCGGCGGACTTTCGTCCACAGAAGTCCGGTATCTTCTTGGCCAAACATGCTTCCAGGAAGTGCCAGCGACAAATCATAGTTTGATCACAAATAATCTTAAGGCCATTGACTCTTGACTAATTTGCTTGTTGATGAAGTTAGGGAACCCAATAAGCAATGAAGAATTCAGAATACATCATTGACTTGCATCCAGAAGATATCTTTTTGGGGCTGCTTGAAAAAGGTCAAAGGAATGGCCGGGAGAGAAACCTGGTCACATTTAACTGGTTGACCAACCTGAATTGAAGACCCTCATTGTTGAACACGTTCATCCCAGTTCATTGTGCCGGTAATCGGCTACAGCCGGAACTAATGCAATTGTCGGGGTGTTCTCCTCATTGCCACTTCACACGGCCATGGGTGTCAGTTGGAACATGGAGGCTTAGTCATAGTCGATGGGCATGGCCAGAAACCAAACCTACAAACGGAAAGATCAAATGTTGGTCGAGATGTTCTTCACTGCTGAGGTGAAGCCTCCGTAGCAAACAAACTTGGAACCCCAATAGCAGGGGCATGAATATGACAGAGAATCATAGACACATTGTGCTGGTGCTTTGAGTTGCATGGCGCACATGGAAAAGCATCAAAAAAGACAAACAAACATGGAGAAACTGTCCAGATTGGGCTTTCTTGTCCTGTTGAAACCATTACAGAAGGACCTTCTCAGGTGTGCATGTACCAACAAAATAATGCGAGAAAAAACAAACACGCCTGAAACTTTGTTGTCATGATAACTCCTCAGATTCCTAACAACCTTCCGTCAAGGAGGCTCAAACGGGTATGAGTTTCTGTTAAAGTCCTCTGAGGACATACGCAAACCCAGTTTTTAAAACTCCTCCTTGTCCTCAGGAAAGGCATGGCTCATGGCGCCTCTGATAGCTCTGAGCTCCCATGCGTTCGACCACCAAGGGCGAGTTCGATAGAGTCTCCTGACGTTCCTGCGAATGCGGCGGAGACCATTGCCATGAAGTGCGTCTCTTCACATGTGTAAGGCAAATATGGACAATCAGGATTTGTATCAGCTGATAATCACCATGAACACTGACTGGCGTTGATTATTTTTCAAGACTAGTTTCTTTGTATTCTCAGCATCTGCTGCTTTCTCCCTTGGAAATCATCTGCACATCCCTGCGCTGCTGGGACCTTCTTTCACGTGCTCATCCATGCCGTGTTAACGACACCAAAGGTCTCCAAGATCTCCGTAGCAAGCCCGTCAGCGTGTAGAGCTCACCTGTAGAAGTACGGTATGTCTCAACACCATCCATTTCCAAACAAAGCCCATTGGATTTGGGAGTTGGAAGAGTGACGTGTCCAAAGCCTTCGGCATCAAGGATCAGTCCATGATGAGAATGAGGTTTCCAAAACTCTCATTCTCATTTGATCTCTATCGCCATAAGTCATTCAGCCATTGCCTCGAGCTTGTGATTGGCTGCTTCTTCGTTTGCATTTGCTGGAAGCTTCAAGACCTCTACCACTACTATGCATAGTGTGGTCTGCAGGTGTAGAATGCTCTTTTCCAATACCTGCCAGACCTGAAAAGTGTCTTGGCGCACCAAGTCGCTTGGAGGCAGCTGCAGGCCCAGCAACAATCTTTCTTAAGCAGTTTGTTGGCACCGTTCCTTCCACTGACGCCCTCGTTTCCATCATAAGCTTGCTCCAAATCCTCCGTCAAGGCAAGTACGCGGGCATAGCCAGCATCAGCTGACGCACCCTCAACTCCTCTACTGATTTGCTGTCATATCTTCTGCTTTACGTCTTCACGTTGACGTTGTTGGGAGGCCAGATCATGCGTTTTGGTGACTTCACATGTCACCCCTCTCCCTGTTGATTGACTCTCCAGGCGCATGGGAAAGGCTGGAGCATCAGGTGCTTCTGTCACATCAACATACCTGAGCATTGGTGAAAGAACAAAGGATCTTGTGGGAGCTACTCTAGTACCCGGGGAAAAGAGTTGAAACTATTTTGTTGTAGCCATTGTAGCCGTTCGAACCGGATTGAACCCAAGCATGAATTGCTCCTCTTCTGTGCATGAAATGGGCTGAAAGGCTATTGTCATGTGCAGTCCACAAAAGCAGCAGTTGAGCTCCGGCAAATTCCGGCAAGAATAGCGAGATTAGAAGCACTTGAGAACTGCACTACCCGGCCAATCCACGAGCGCTGCCTTGCAAACCAAGGCTCCAGCAACTGAGTGCTAAGCGCTTTCGTTCGCTCAAGTTGGGCATCACTTCATGCGGCGTTCGTCGATCTGCCCAGAAGAGGGTCAAAGTATCGAAGTCCGGGAGGAGATCCTGGGCCGGAATGCTGCTCTGAAATGGCCCAGCCAGAAGGAGGCTTTTGCTGAAGGATGCTGGAGGGTTCCTGTGCGACTTTGAGATCTTTTCAGGGACCAGCGGCTTGCTACTCAACAGCTGAAGGACCAGGAAATCTGAATTTAGGTGGTTGTTGTCTTCAGCATGAGATCTTCTATGCAAACAAACACTGTTGCCAAGGATAATTTAGCATGTCCCTCGACAGAAACCCAAAAATACAAATCATCCCTGGATGCAGCAATTTAAATAAACTAAGTGCGATAGTCTTTAGATGAAATATCTTCGAACGGTCCTATAAAGGAAATCCCGACAACCTGCAACCTAATCGTTTTCTTTCAAATCTTTCAATCGTTTTGGAATTGATTGCCGGTACGGTCTAGTGAGGACCACAGATTAATTCCCGGGTACAACACTACAGGACAGGCCGACCAATACCCCACCCCTGCAGTAAGGGGATGAGCTAAGGTGTGGACAGTCAAAACCCCTCAACAATCCTTAGCGCCCTTGCTCCTAGTAGCGATGCCCTTTGCTCCTAGTAGCGTCCTCCATCATGAGATTGGAAAGACATTCACCGAGATGCATAAATGCCGCGCTGGCCCAATATTCGCAGGTGCCCGCCATCACCTTGGTCGTCCGCACTTCAGCGCCGAAGCCACGCTAATGCGACAATGAAGCAAAGCAGAAGAACCTCCCAACGACCAGGGTGACCGTTGCTCTGTCTTGCTGAGGCTAGTTTACTCAATTCAGATCCTCCCAACGACTAGCAGAGTGGCGCCCAACCTGTTGGGACATCCCCCAAAGAACGAAGACTGTGATCACAATGCCCAACTGCTCAGACCTGTCTATCACTCGCGCGTTGACCTCGATCCTTCTCAGTTTGGTTACGATTGGGAGGATACCCTCCTCTGGGACGGGAGCCTCCCCAAAAGGAACATGTATAGATTAGAGATGATTAGACAAATACAGTCTTCCAGCTTTCAAATCTTCCTCACGGCGAAGTGTTGGGGAGTGATGAGTGCCTCCTTTCTAGGTGGCCGGGCCTGCACACCTTGTCTGTTGGCAACTGGGTCATGTTTCCAAAGTCCAGGGTGAATTCAAAAGGACAAAGCTTTGTGTTTTCTTCTCAAGGCATGTTACAAAAAAACAACGGTATACAACGGTAAGTTTAAGCAGCAAAGAGTGACCAACACTTAGACTTGCGTGTGCCGTCCCCATACCTCTAGGCCCTCTCAACACTCAAGGTCACATGTTGTGTCCAAGGGAACAGGGAACACTTGCACTGAGCGAACAAACGATGAGATCAACATGTTAGCACTATATATCCTCACTGCCACTCAGGTTTGGGGTTCTTGGGACCCTGCTACTTTTGAAGTCGGAATTTACTATGTCCTGCTACTTGCCGCCCCAAGGAGCTGTGAGACATCCCTTTGTTGAGGTAATACACAGCTGTGAGCCGCCGCCCGTTGCAATCGCCCAAGCCTTCGTCACCTTGACGTTTTTAAAACAAGTGATCTGGTTTCGTGTTTGTCACCAACCAAGCAAGCAGATTTCACCCAAATTTTGCAAGGACTCCAGCATCCTGTCCATGATCACTGAATGTCGCTAATGTTGCTAATGTTTGGTATTTCAGTTTGACGAACCTCATTGAAACTTGTTGAGATCTGACTTTCAGTAGTGCAGGGTATCAATCAATATCAATCAATACAGTACCGATGAAAGGTCGAGTCTAGTATGGTAGCTATTAGGTTGGAGGCCATTGCTTCTAGGTTGGAGGGCATCGCTATTAGGTTGGAGGCCACCGCCATTAGAAACAAAGAACAACGAACAGGAAGAACGGTCCAATATACTTAGGTTGGAGACCTGCCATCGCTATTAGGTTGGAGCCCATCGCTATGAGACACAAAGAAAAAAGAACAGGAAGAACGGTCAAACATATTCTGCCATCCTTTGGGTCCGTGAGGCGACTTTCCCGCAAGAGGCCTGCAATTGACTCATCGAAGTCATCTCCTGCATCACCCCCCACCATTCTTCACCTGACCTCGTTGAGCATTTGAGGTCAACCCTTTTATATTCCTTGACTGGCCTTGCTATATTATTCTTTCTCAACTTATCCAACTATCTCGACCTCTCGGTCCTTCCCCAATCTCCCGAGTGGCAGTTGTTGTCATAGTGCCGGATGTACCGTGCATGTTGAGGATAGCAGGAGGCCATCGGTGGCTCTCGGCGCTCCACGCGCAAGAGCTCGTCTGGGCGGTTGAGATGAAGACGCCTTCAGCAGCGCAAAGGGTGAAGTCAGAATGGGAGATTGGCAAATTGGTTCCTTAAGTTCTTATGTAACGTCGATGCCCAAGCACCCTAAGTTTCAAGCAATATTGGCCATGGCGTGGTTCCACGGTCCTTCGCCGGAATGACTTCACTGATGGTTCAATCCGGAGATTCGCAGCTGCTGCCGGTCTCGGGGATTTCGCAGCTGCTGGAGGGGAGTTAATGACATCATATGTTTGGCCCACAAACATCATACTCCATTTTGCTGATGCTCTCAAGGTTTCTTGGTGTGCAATTCCAGTAATTACAAGGAAGCCTCCAAGCGCGCCAGGTTCATGGGCTTGGCATCTGTGACCCCCCCAAGAACCCCCCTTCAAAAGAAGCAATGGGGCGTTTCAAGTTGATGCTCTGAAGTCTTAACGCACAAGTCGTCCTTTTGTGTTGGCTTTGGGTGTGTTGAAGAATGTTGCTGAGAAGACCATCATCTTCAAGGCCAACAGTAAGGAGGCTCCTGTCGTCTTGACCCACCATCCATCCAAACGGGAAATCAACAAACACCTGGAACACAAAACACCCTTTTGAATCTACTTCAATCAGATCCTGTTGTCGCCAACTCTGTTTTGCTTCAAGAGTTCATCAAGCAAGAGGCAGGTCTGCGACCAACTCATCGAGCGCCTCAGGTGGGGTGACGGACGCGTCCTGGATTTCTTCGTCTCAAAACGTGAGGACCAACAAAAGCAAATAAACGCAACATCTAAAGCAACCCTATGTACCCCTTTTTCATCCTTTTTCCATTTTGCCACTTCCCAGCTTTGAAGCACAAAAATCAACACTGGTTGTGCACCGAAAGCCTTACGAGGGCTACTATTGCACAATCTATGGCTGGCCACCTCTGGTGCCAACAAACATCTTGAAGAGCATGCAAGCCATGAACAATGAATCGAACTGACTTGGCCCATCCCAATTTGTACCTCTAAGAACATGACACGATAATTATTAACAAAAAGCTGATTTCCCAAACAGAGTCCTAGGGTTTAGTTCCAGTCTGCTCGTGTGACTTGCTGCAAAGACCAGTGATGGTTAAAGAGATCCCATATAATTAGGACAGACAGGGGTATGTTTTAATGCAAAACATAATGCTGATGCTCATGTGGACACAACAACCCCTGAATTGAACATATTAACCAATTAAGAACCTTGTCAGGCGTTTTTGAAGTAGGTCGCGGTAGTGATGGAAAAAAAAGAGGCACGTAAAATGTCTGTAAATTACTGGTGTGAGGGATCATGCACCTACAAACGTAGTTCTCTGCCGGAACGCCAAGTCTGGATAATGCAAAGTCATGGTTTTCAAAGAATTGCACTGAAATGTTTGACCATGTTTCTTCTCATGTCAGTGGACATTCTCTTCCGTGACTAGTTATCTTCATAAGCATATGGTCTTTCACAAAGGCTTTGAATAGTGGATGTATGCAAATAGTGACATCACGCCCCCCTCTAAAACATTTGTGGGTGAGACTGGTCTTGCCACTTGACAATGAACAATTATACAAGTTGGAGATACCGTTGGATTATTGGAAGTGTCAAATGAAGGGGAAACTCGACGGTGGATGAGAAATGCTTGGACAATATCGCGTGGCAGCAAATTGAATGTTTTGGTCCAAGGTGAATCTGGCGAGTGGTGATGCAGGACCTTTTGTGTGCGAGAACCAAAGCCATTGTTGCCCTATTTGGGAGGCCACCTGCTGGCCATGATTGACCCCACTGCAACAGTCTGCGATATGTTTCAAAAGCCTAACGTCATGGAGTTGCTGGAGTTTAGCAACAAACCGTGTGGACCGTGCGTGCCATGAACTGTTGTGCTGATAGACTGATCGGGAATGCTGATCTGTGATCACTTCAAAAGGTAGTGCTATCCCGAGGCATGGCACGTAACCGCATGGTTCCAGGGCTTTTGGAGTCTACGACCGCACCTGCATCCAGCGCTGCAAGGCTTCCCCAAATCGTCCAGCTTCAGAGAGGCTGGGCCAGGCGATCTCGTCCCCGCGGAGGGATCTGCGGAGTCCGGACCGTCCAGGGGTTGATTTTTTGTGTTGGAAGCACACGAAAGCACATGCTCCTTTGGGATCATGAAGCAGTAGGCACCTTTTTGTAAACAAGCAGATCTCTTTCTCTTGCGTTCGCCAAGGACGTTTGTCTGCGGCCGCCGTGCATATTAATTAGAGTCAAACAACCGCTTACCATGGTAGTCGAGACCCATTCCAGCTTCCTGGTCAAAGGTTCCGATCAGCGTTTCGCATCGGGTCGTGAACCATTCTGGAAGGGTCTCATTACCTTCGCAGTCTTGTTGGCTTTCAAGGAAAAGGGTCGCAAGCAACCTACAAAAGTCACCAGGGCACTCCTTCAATGAGGTAGTAAGCCACTCGCCATGCTTTCCTTTGCCAATGGAGACTGTCTTTGGTAGCGGAGTTGTTCGGCCACTGAGTAGCATCTCTTCTGCTTTCTCAGTCACATTGACGCAGAGCAGATCAGTGGGTTTCGAAGACTTCGCTCCGAAATGCCCCTGGAAAACTCTTATGCGTCTACATTGCTTAAATCGCAGCAGTGTGCAGACAACAGGCAAACGCCAGATGCATACCTGATGGCAGTTCACATCATCCTCAGCAGGATGCTCCAGGATGGCAGTTTTGCCAGTGCGAAGTGCAATGGTCATCAACTTCAGCGTAATGCCAAGTAGTCTGCTTCCAAAAACCACTTGTTCATGTTCTCTTTTGGTCAATCCCAGAAGGCCCATTGGCCGGGCCAGACAGCGGACGATCCTGGGCCCTGGCTGCCCATCAGGAAGAACTGTGCCTCGCGCGCGAGACCACGTCTCGCATGGCGGCCCGCCGATGAATCCCAGCAAAATGTTTTCCGCTAAGGCTCTTGCGAAAAAGGAGAAAGTCTCAGGCTTCGCCAGGTCGCCATAGTCTGCATGGAAAATTATGTCAACCGAGATGGCGAATACTCCAGCTTGTTCCAGGTGACTCTGGAGACATCCGATCCGTGCCCCGAAAACAGATGGGCAAACACTCTGGGGTTGTATTGTGGGGGTCGTATCACCCTGCTTGAGAGTCCCTGCAGGTTTTGCGCTTGAATAGCAAAGAATGCCAGAGACTGCTGTGGCAGGCATTTGGTCCCTTCGGTGTCTCCAAGGAACCACTGAAAGGAACAATTTTGCTGGAAGAATCTCATGGCACAGAGCTGTGTCAGAGTCCAGTCTTCTTCCTTCGAATACGACCATCTTTCGAAAATCTGAGAGAGCTCGATGGGATACAGATACGAGGAGACCGTAGCCGTTTTCAGCTGTCGCAGCATCTCGTCTACCAGTCGACGTTAATGCAGCATCCCACATCGTTTGAAGTCGGGTGCACTCGTCCTGGATTTGTGGGTCTGTGATCACAGAGCTTCCATCTCTCATTTCGTGCGGCCCTTCGGCCTGCAAAAAAGGGTCATGTAGTCGGTCATTCCAGGCTCGGTCAGAGCGGCTATTGACTCCTGGTGGAGGATCAAGCAAACATGGCTTTGTCTGATAGTATTGCAGGCAGGATGCCTTCCGCTTGACATGGTTGACCAGGGAGACATAGCTACCATACTTTTTCAAGCAACATAGGCAGCTCTGGCCTTCTACAAACCGTCTTGCAATCTGTACTCGAGAATGCTTTTTGAAGGCGTGAACTGCCATCGCAGCATTTGATCCAAACTTCTTACCGCATGAGAGGCACCAAAAGGCATCAGCCAACTGTGGCCGTGGGATAGGTATTGCTCCCATCTCCACAAGTTCATTCTGTATATCGGCATGCCAGGCTGACCAATCATACCACCGAACATGGTAGCTCACTGTACGTGCCATTGCCTTCCTGATGACACTCTTCCATTGTCGAGGGTGGTGATGCGCCCACTCCTCTGCTTTCCACCAGTCGTTCTCTCATCACCAGTAGGTATGTCGTTCTCCGGACAGAAAGCTTGTAGCCATTCCAGGTCCTCGCGGACAGTGGCATACCAGGTTTCCTGCTTCTGAATCAAGGCCCACGTGTGTGGTTGTCCAGTTCGAATCAACTGCATTAGATACCTCAATCGCGCTTCACGACATACTTCCTCAGGTTGTGGAAGTTCGAGATATGCTCTGACTTTATCAAAGCTCCACTCTTTCACCGTACAGCCTGCGTGTGCCCATGCCAATCTCTTGTAGAGTTTGAGAAAGCCACTTCGCATCTGCAGCTCCTGTCGCTTCGTAGGCAGCTCCCAAGTTGCACAACTGAAAGTGATAGCACTGAGGATGAGCGACCGGAAATATTGCACCTTGGTCCGCAGTCGCAGGCTGCGATTTCCAAATATTTGAGGTCTGAATCTCGTGAAGGTGTCGTGAGCGATGGCAAACTTCACGCTAAGATCCTTGGTAAGCTTAGCACCTTGTTGGACATATGTTCCCAAATGCTTATAGCAATGAACAGATCTGAGCGGTTCATCAAACAGTGGAGACGCCACGGAGAACTTGTAGTTGGCCTCCATCCAATCCCTCTTGGCTTGAAGACTTCCTTCTCCGCGCCGCTCAACAAGGATCTCTGTTTTCCCCGGTTTCAAATTTGGTTGGAGCCCCGCTACCGCCAGAGCATGTAGTACATGATTAGCAATCAACGGTATATTCGCCAGTAGTTCACTCGCATCGTCATGTCGGATGGCCACCGCAACATCGTCTGCCCAAATAGGGAGCAGGGGGCCAAGACATCTCTGATTGACATCGGAGCAAAAAGCCGAACACTGGCAATTCCAATCCATCGCCATAAATGGAAAATCTAACACCAGCCGCTCCTCGATTTTCCGCATGATCCGGGAGAGGACAAACCCGAAGCAAATGTCAGCAAATGAATCCCCCGGTCGGCTTCCTCTCCGGGTTAGCGTCAGGACATCGCTGCCTGTGACCGAGTACCAAGTGGACTGGTAAAACTCTTGAAACAGACTGATCAAAAATGGGCTTGCGTCTGATGCTTCCAATGCTGGCTTCCATGATGCAATGCTTGAAATTCATCAAAAGCTTGCTCATTCAGGCCTAGACTATGGAAGAGCTGTTCAACTCCTCGTCCATCTTGTGTGCATGTCGTCAGGTGTTGACGCAGAAGCCGATAAAATGCACTTTGGATATCAATGAAGAGGAAAGCACAGCTTGTTCCTTCTTTCAAGGCACTGGTGTGATATAGGCGAAGAGCATGGCTGGCTTGAACGATCGAATGCCCTTTGAGGCCACCCAGCTGCATCTGGAGACGTTGGCGATCAAAAATCTGACCCAGCTCTTGGCGATATATGCTGTGAAGTGCCTTGCCCAGCGGACTAGAGATAAAAAGGCTTCTATAGCTATTGCAGTCCGTCGAATCGCCTTTCTTGTATGCTGGCGCAAGTCTGCCGCCCTTGTGTAGCACAGCCTCTTTCTGATACGCTGCTTGTTTCAGAAGCAGCGGGAAGAAGCAGTTGGTGAGGACATGTGGGATTCTGGACAATAGATCACCTGGTATGTCGTCAGCAAAGAAGGCCTTATTGCATTTGGTTCGTCGAAAGCTTGCCTCAACCTCCTGGAAAGTCGGGAGCTGGAACCATTCTGGGCAAATGAAGTCTTGTGTGGACTTCGCATCACAGAGTTGCATCAGCTCATCGATTGTGATAGACTGCCCATCTTCCTGTTGTGAAAAATGGCTACGCCAGCGCTCAGCGATTTTCTCAAAGGTGTCCAGCGGCATACCATCTTTGTCTCTGACCATAGGCAGCGGCAAGGCATACGATGGTTTCTTCTTGCTTTGGACTCCCAATGCTTTGAGTGCTGCAGCGAAATCCGCTTGGGTCATACTTTTGGCCTGCTCTCCGAGCTGCTCCAGTGACATCGTCCTATCATGACGAAGCGCCTTCTGCAGGTCTTTTGTCAGCTGAGCAACCTGTCGGCGAATCTGTACGATCAGCTTGACATGCGTCATTGTCATAAGGAACAGATCCTTTGTCGGAATCAGATCTCCTGCTCTCCAGGCCCGCATCACGATGTATCGTGTCATGGAAGAGGCTTTTTTAGCCATCAATCTCCTCATTCTTGTGCGTGTTTGTCGGATCTGCCAGGTCTGATCAGAAATATACGACTTGCAAGGCTTGGTCTTGGCTGGCGGAAAATGCGATTGCAATTGTCCCCCTATCCATTGCGCCAACTCAGTGGCATGCTGATGGACATCCGTGCTCCATGGGATCTTTGGACAGTCTTGGAAAATATCCGCCAGTCTTGTGCGAGGGCATTGCTGCAAAGCTCGACGGTCAAAGCTACATCGAGGCTTGGATTTCTTTCCTCGAGGCAAAAACACCTCAGTCGCATCTCGCACCTTGCCCATTCACGTTACTGATCCATGTGCTTGTGTCTCCAGAGTGGCAGCATTCATAGGTGGATGGAAGCCATCCACCAATATTCACCAACAGTGATTGGAGATATGTCCCAGCCAGATTTGTTCGTGCCTCCAATCCATGCGTCCCGATGCGCGGTTCAGTCTCAAAGCTCACGTGTGCATTGGCATCGAAACCACCGACAAAATTAGGAAACCGCTGAGTCCAATGAACCAGCTCGTTCTGGAGATTCATCCAGAATTTTTGATGCACTTCATCAGGTGCTCCACTGTGGGGCGCATGGAATGTGAAAAACAAATACTCCACTCCTTTGCAAGTCGCCTTGGCAATCAGCACTTGTGGCTCGGCATGTAGAACCTGAATCAGTTCCTTGCGAAAACCTGTTCTGCAATCAGGCTCCTTTTCTCGCAAAGACCAGATCTCAACGCCTCCTCGGCCCGCCTCAGCCGCCGAAGTAAGCCTGTAATGGCTCTGTGAAGTCAGCATCTGCGACTCTCGGCAACGAGTCTCTTGCAGGAAGCTCACTTCATATCCAGCTTTGGCGATTTGCTGTCGAAGATAAGTGACATAGAAAGCACTCTTGCGTGGCTGGAGGCTAGAGACATTGTATGTCAAAAGGTTCCACTTTTGCTTGAAGACCTCGT